AGGTTGGCGATGCGTCTGCGTTCCGTGTCTGGGGATCTCGGGCTTTTGTCCGAGACTTGTCTGCGGACAAGATGTCCTCCCGTGCTATTCCCTGCGTCTTCCTTGGCTTCCCCCCTGACGCGCCTGGTTGGCAGTTTTACCACCCCACCTCGCGCCGTGTTCTGTCCTCCCAGGACGTCACGTTTGACGAGTCGGTTCCGTACTACCGTCTCTTCCCCTACCGCGCTGCCCCCCTCCCCCCCCCCGCCGCTCTTCCTTACGCCAGGTCCCCCCCCGGTAGACCCCCTCCCCCCCACAGGGTCCTGCTCCTTCAGGTGTGTCTCAGGTAGACCCCCCCCCCCTTGGCTGAGCCTTTGGAGGTCACTTCCGACACCTCTGGCCCACCCGAGGGGGGTGACGCTGCTGCTGGCGCCCCGTCGGCCTACCGCCGCGCACCACGCTTGGAGATCCCTCCCGGGTTCCCCCCGCGACCTTCTTCACCGCCTCTGCAGCCGGTTACTGTTGACTCTGGTGCTGCTGGGGGTGGTGCTCCTGGAGGTGCTGCGTCTGGGGGTGCGGAGTCTGGGGGTGCTGAGCCTGCGCGTGAGGGGACTGGGGGTTCTGCGCCTGGGGGCGCTATGTCTGTGGGTGCTGAGCGTGTGTGTGCGGAGTCTGGGGGTGCTGAGTCTGGCGGTGAGACGCTTGAGGGTACTGGGACTGCTGGTGCGCGGCCTACTTGGAGTGGCCGCCTTCGTCCGCATGTGCCTCTCACCACTCAGCAGCTGCACGACTGGTACGGTCGCCGTCAGCGTCGCGCTGCTGGAGCCCGGGACTCTGCTGCTCGAGGTACTGGAGCTGCTGGGGCTGGGGGTGCTGCGCCTGGAGGTGCTGCTGTGGGAGACGCTGCGGCTGGAGACCCTGGGACTGGAGGTGCTGGTTCTGGGGGTGCTGCTGCGGGAGACACTGCGGTTGGAGACCCTGGGACTGGAGGTGCTGAGTCTGGGGGTGCTGAGCCTGCGGGAGACGCTGCAGCTGGAGACCCTGGGACTGGAGGTGCTGGTTCTGGGGGTGCTGCTGCGGGAGACACTGCGGTTGGAGACCCTGGGACTGGAGGTGCTGGTTCTGGGGGTGCTGCTGCGGGAGACACTGCGGTTGGAGACCCTGGGACTGCAGGTGCCGGTTCTGGGGGTGCGGCTGCTGGTGACGCTGGTTCTGGAGCTGCTGGCGCTGGAGGTACCGGTTCTGAGGCTGGAGCTTCTGGAGCTGCTGGAGGCGCTGGCGCTGCTGGAGGTGCTGGCGCTGCTGGGGGTACTGGAGCTGCTGGAGCTGCCGGTGCTGGTGCAGCTGCGCCGACACGACTGTTCTTCGCTCCGCCGTCTCCGTCGTCTCTGCCGCCGCCTGACTCTGCTCTTCGTCAGGTTGTTACTCTCCCGTCGTCTACTGGTCTTCCGTTACAGACTGGCTCACCGCTACCTGCTCCCTCTCCTTACACTGAGCAGACAGGCAGTCCTGCTACGCGTCGTGAGCCTGCGTCGCGTCCTGTCTCGCCTGTTCGTTCTGGTCGTCCCGTTCGTCGTGTCGCTCGTGCGCGCCAGCTGGCTGTCCCCAGCGCACACCTTGTTGTCCGTCGTCCGGCCTCTGTTCCGCAGTCTGTTCCTCTGCCGTCTCCCCCTGCGTCCTCTCTGCCTGCCGTTCCGGACCCTGCGTCTGACCGGTTTCGTGCTGAGCACCCTACTGTCACGCGTCTGTTAGCCACTGTTGTCACTGACCCGTCGTTTGAGTCTACTGCTGCGTCTGCCTTAGTCGCTGAGCTTGTCGACTTTGCTGCTGCCTGTCGTCTCGACTACGCCGCTAGTCTTGTTGCTGAGTCTGAGTCTGTCTGTCCTCCGTCCGTCGGGGGTGAGTGTGCTCTTAGCACGGACGTTCTTGAGGACAGGCAGGAGGAGTTCCAGTGTCTTGCTACTGCTTTACCTCATCTTGTGTCCTCGCTGCTTGCCCCTGAGGGAGACCCGGATGCACTAGACATCCCGACTCCGCGATCTTACGCGGAGGCGATAGAGGGTCCCTACTCCTCTCAGTGGCAGGCAGCCATGGACGCAGAGATGGCTTCCTGGAAGTCCACAGGCACCTACGTTGACGAGGTTCCCCCACCTGGGCCGAACATCGTCAGTGGCATGTGGATTTTCAGGGTAAAGCGGCCGCCAGGTTCTCCGCCTGTCTTCAAGGCGCGTTACGTGGCTCGAGGCTTCAGTCAGCGGCAGGGAGTTGACTACTTTCATACCTTCTCTCCCACCCCGAAGATGACCACTCTTCGGGTTCTGCTACACATAGCCGCTCACCGTGACTACGAGCTTCACTCTCTGGACTTCAGCACAGCTTTCCTACAGGGCAGCCTGCACGAGGAGATCTGGCTGCGCCGCCCACCTGGCTTCACTGGGACGTTTCCTCCTGGCACCCAGTGGAGCCTCCGGCGGCCAGTCTACGGTCTCCGTCAGGCGCCGCGTGAGTGGCACGACACACTGAGGACTACACTTGCGGCTCTTGGGTTTGCTCCTTCTACTGCCGACCCGTCGCTGTTTCTGCGCACTGACACCTCTTTGCCGCCGTTCTACATCCTCGTGTACGTCGACGACTTGGCCTTTGCTACAGCTGACACTGCTGGACTCGCCCACGTGAAGTCCGAGCTGCAGAAGCGACACACGTGCACAGACCTGGGTGAACTGCGCAGCTACCTTGGCTTGCAGATCACCCGGGACAGAGCACGGCGCACCATTACACTGTCTCAGTCACACATGGTGCAGCAGGTCCTTCAGCGCTTCGACTTCACGTACTCCTCGCCTCAGGCCACTCCTCTGTCTACTCGCCACTCGCTCTCAGCTCTGCCTTCGGATGAGTCTGTAGAGCCGAGTGGCCCGTACCCAGAGCTTGTTGGCTGCCTCATGTACCTGATGACATGCACACGACCTGACCTTGCATACCCTCTTAGCATCCTGGCACGCTATGTTGCTCCTGGGAGACACCGACCAGAGCACATGGCTGCAGCGAAGAGGGTGTTGCGCTACTTGTGCAGTACGTCGGGCATGGGGCTAGTGCTTGGAGGGCAGAGTCCAGTGGTCCTCACTGGTCACGCAGACGCTTCTTGGGTTGACGACCTGGCTACTCAGCGGTCGTCACAGGGTTACACCTTCAGCCTTGGTTCCGGCTCTGTTTCGTGGCGGTCTACCCGCTCGTCGTCTGTTCTCAGCTCTAGTTGTGAGGCTGAGATCTACGCAGGAGCCATGGCTGCACAGGAGTTACGCTGGCTTACCTACCTGCTGACTGACCTGGGAGAGCCGCCTCGTTCTCCTCCAGTTCTGTACGTAGACAACAAGGCAATGCTGGCCTTGTGTCGGGAGCACAGACTGGAGCACAGAACGAAGCAGATTGCTCTCCGCTACTTCCTTGCACGTGAGCTGCAGCAGCGTGGTCAGCTGCGCCTTGCTTACGTGGCCACTCGGGCCAACACTGCTGATATCTTCACCAAGGCACTTCCGCCTGGTGATCATCAGCGCTTCTGTACGATGCTAGGTCTTGTGCCCACTTGGCCTCACTTGCTCACTTCTTGACCTTGCTTGTACTGTGTTTTCTATATACCTGCTCTTGCTTGTTTGCCTTTATATATAATCCTGCATGTGAACTGGCCTTGTGGCCTTGACCTTGTGCTCAGATTTTGTGGTGACGTTGTGATCCACTCTGAGCTTGCTTTGCTTGACTGGTCTTGAGGTCTTTAGGTCTTCCCCACTTTGCCTATGGGGGTGTGTCAAACATATATAACATTGATTATATAGGCTGTAGTGGGTTAGACTCTAGAGAGTATAGGGTTGTTACTTGTTTCTCTCATTTTCCTTAGTGCACCATCCTTTCGAACTTCACACAAGATTCGACGTTAACGTCGGACGGGTTGCGTAGCAGTTATGTGGTTGTTATTTGATGACATAAGGAATGGTTGATATTACATGCACGGTATTTGGAGAGAGCCACAAATATTCGTCCTGTTTATAACAGATAATTTTTATTTCCTCATTTTGTTCTTCCTCACTTTCGGTTCTCTTCCAATTCAATGTTGTGAATGTGGAAATATTTGAACAAATATTCTATCTGTTATTATATTTGGCTGTAGTGTTTGTATGTACAAATGGCAGTATCATATATTATAGTGAGTGTGTTAGCTTGGGGTAGCTTGCAATTCACCCAACCGTCTCCATACCGTACTGCACTCCGATTGTGAAACCGTTTCTTGCCTTCTGCTTTGGCAGATTTTTTTCTTGCCAGCGCAACACAACCCGAACCAAACCAGCGCAACCTTCCCTGAGTCTTGTCTAGGTTTCTTGAACCCAAGCACCTCCCCTACTTCTGCTCTTTCTACGTTTCCCAACCCAACCATCGCTCATACTTTCATCACGCCTCCCTACCAGCTATCCTTCCAGTTGCCTTACTCCACCGCCGCCTCTCGTCACTCCCCACCGTCGCCTCTCCCTCCCTCCCCATCATAGCCTCTCCCTCCGTCCCCCGCCGTCGCTCTCCCTTTCTCATCGTTGTCACCTCTCCCTCCCTTCCCGCCGTCGCCTCTGGTGGGTGCACTAGCGTGAGCGCGGGTTGCTGCACGACCGCGCGTTTTGTGAGCCACCGTCGTCTTAGGTGCGTTTCCGTTTCCCGGACCTTTATTTCCTCTCCCCTCCTCTGGAATTTCAGTTTTTTTTTTCTACCGTTTTCGTAAGTTCTTTTCGCTGGTTGGTGATTAACGCGCTGGCGCCTAACGGGCTGGCGCATATCGCGCTGGCCCTATAGCGCTGGCGCCTAATGCGCTGGCGCCATATGCGCTGGCGCCTAGCGCACTGGCGCCTAACGCGCTCGCGCCATATGCGCTGGCTCCTGGCGCGCTGGCGCTTAACGCGCTGGCGCCAAGTGCGCTGGCGTTTAAGGCGCTGGCGCTTGCTATGCTGGCGCCATGTGCGCTGGCGTTTAAGGCGCTGGCGCTTGCTATGCTGGCGCCATGTGCGCTGGCGCCTACCGGGCTGGCGCCAAGTGCGCTGGCGCCTAGCGCGCTGGCGCCGTGTGCGCTGGCGCCTATTGTGCTGACGCCAAGCGCGCTGGCGCCATGCGCGCTGGCGCCTATTGCGCTGGCGCCATGTGCGCTGGCGCCTAGCGTGCTGGCGCCATGCGCGCTGGTGACATGTGCGTTGGCGCATATTGCGCTGGCGCCTACTGGGCTGGAGCCAAGTGCGCTGGCGCCTAGCGCGCTGGCGCCGTGTGTGCTGGCGCCATGTGCGCTGGCGCCTAGCGCGCTGGCGCCATGCGCGATGGCGCCATGTGCGCTGGCGCCATGCGCACTGGCGCCATGCGCGTTGGCGCCATACGCGCTGGCGCCTATCGCGCTGGCGCCGTGCGCGCTGGCGCCGTGCGCGCTGGCGCCGTGCGCGCTGGCGCCGTGCGCGCTGGCGCCTATCGCGCTGGCGCCGTGCGCGCTGGCGCCTATCGCGCTGGCGCCGTGCGCGCTGGCGCCATGTGCGCTGGCGCCATGCGCGCTGGCGCCTATCTCGCTGACGCCTTAAGCGCCTGCACCTTAGGCATTGGCGAGTCTTCCTTAGTCCTCTTGAGCATGCCTTAGTGATTGTTGTTAAGTGCTTTAACCCTAGGTTGCTCATGGTGCCTTGGGCGCATTGGCGCTTATGGGCATTGACGCTGCGACGTATGCACCTAGGGTGCTGGCGGCAGTAGCGCCATGGGCGTTGATGCCTTTTGGAGCTGGCACATTCGCGCCTAGAGCGCTGGGTGTGTTTTTGGTGCCATTATCATTTCTTCTCTCTCTCTTTTAGGTGATGCATTCTATGCAGGCTGAGGTGGTGTGCATGATGCCTTCAAACCACGCGTGTGAGTCGTCCAATTGAATTTGCCTAGTATTCATCTTTTGTCAATCTATTGCATCATCTTGAACACGTTCCATCATGCGTTGCTACTTCTAATGCACCTCGCTGGCGTCTTGCTGCAGCGCGCTGACGACTTACGTTATTCACTGGATTTACTTACAGCAATATACCTTTCTGCGTGACCTGTGTGTTTTGCAGGATGTGCCTGCCACATTGTGGGGAGCACAAGAAGGAAGGCAAGGGAAAAGATGTGGAAAAGCGTGGGGATAAAGAGGGAAGGGGGGAGCGGATAGGAAGGGGGAGCAGGCTAACAGTGATTGTTACGTATTCAGTCTTTTTGTATCTTTTTGTATGCTTGTTTGCTCTCTCTCCTCATTGTATGTTTGTATGTGTACATATATGTGTGTCGGTGCATGTGTGCTTGTGTGTGTATATCGTGTGTGCGTGGGTGTGTGTGCTTGTGTGTGTGTCAGTTGGTTGTGATTATTTCAGGGTGTGGTGCTGGTAGGCATCGTGTTTGCAGCTGAGGTTGTCATCGTCGTTGGTGCAGTGTGTTTTCACTGTCTCAACGACCCCATCAATCTCAGTTGTAGCATTGGTGCATATTCAGCATCCATTTTGATGTCGTCAAAACTTTTTTTCGTTACGTTTGCATTTCATGTTGATGAGATGTGTGTGTTTCAAGGCGAGGTGTTCCAATGCATCGCGTATGCAACTAGAGGTTGTCATCGTCGTTGGTGCAGCGTATATTCGTTGTTTCAACGGCCCCATCAATCTCTATTGCTATGTTGTTACATTGTAACATTTCTTGAAGCATTCGCATCACATTTCATACCGTGTTCATTTTTGTACAAGTGCATTCGTTCATGTTGATGCTATGTTCGATCGTACCATCCGCCGTATTTATCGACGATGGTGGGACGGTCGGAACAAAATCATGGTTTGAACATGATATGTAATTGGTTTCACTTTTGGGATCTCTTTCAAGAGTGATTTTTATTACACTATTTGAAGCATTCTCTTGAAAATTATTTTCTTCAAGGGGGTGCTCCAAAGGGTGCTATAAAAATTACTCTTGAAATGATATCCCCAAAAAGTGAAACTGATTATATAGGGTTGCTACGCAACCCAAAAAAGAATACAAGGAAAGATTGAAGGGTGTAGAAGATATTCCGATGTTCGACAAAGTCTGTCATTTGAATGCCTCGTTATAGCTTTGTTTTCGACAGTTGAGCCTTCATGTAGGGTCGTTAAGAAGATTACCCATCACGCACTTGTGCCTCTTAATATGCATCGTTTTAAAAAAGTATAGCCCACGGGTTCTTGGCTATGATTCCGTTGCAATGCAAGCACCACCATGCCTGGTCCACAAACCTATGTTTTTCGTTTGTAACGTGTTCCTCCACAAATACGTTACTCAAGAGTGAGAAATCCCTTGGAGGGTTAAAATTTATAGAAGAAACAGTTCGAAGGGTGTGGAAGGAACCGACAAATACCGTCTTTAAAATACCTCGTTATAGCCTAGTTTCGGATAGTAGAACCTTCGTAACGGAGTCGTTCAAAAGAGTGCCCGTCACGTACTTGTACCCTTTTATTTACACCTCCTTTGAAAGCATAGCCCACCGTTATGGGGCCTGGATTCGATTCGCGCTGCAAGCACAACCATTCTGATCTATAAACATCTGAAATTCGTTAGTGAAGAGCTTGAAATCCCAGGGAGAGTAAAATTTTGTAATTGAAGCAATTTGAAGGGTGTGGAGGATTTTGCGGATGTTAGACAAACTCCGTCATTAAAATACCTCATAATAGCTTGGTTTTTGACAGTAGGAGCTTCCTATAACGGAGTCATTTAGAAAACTACCCGTCACGTAACTGTACCCTTTAATTTGCACCTTCTTTGAAAGAATAACCCACCGTACTTATGGTGCCCGGCTATGATTCCCGCCGCAACCACCACCATTCTGGTCTACGAACATGTGAAATTCGTTTGTGGGGAGCAGGATCCCAGGGAGAGTAAAAATTTGTCATTGAAATAATTTGAAGGGTGTGGAGGATTTTCGGAAGTTCGACGGACGCCGTCATTAAAATACCTCGTTATAGCTTAGTTTTGGACGGTAGCACCTTCGTATAGCGGAGCCGTTTAGAAGATTACCCGTCACGAAATTGTACCCTTTTATTTACACCTCCTTTGAAAGCATAGCCCACCGTAGGGGCCTAGCTACAATTCCCGCCGCAAGCACCACCGTGTCTGATCCGCGAGCCTGTGAAACTCGTTTGTAAATAGAGTTGACGGCCAAGGGATGTACGAAACATGTGTGACGGAGGGATGGTAGGGCAAGAATTCTTCGCGCAGCAAGGGAACGTTCATCAGCTCAGTTCTACTGGAGGAAAGAATCACTGATAAATTGATTGGAGCCTTGGTTCTTGTTTGACCTGTTTCACTCCCAAGAACATTGCTTCGCCGTTCTTCACCACTTCCCATCCCTATCACCATTGACCTAAGTCAGGTGTAGGTAGACAGTTGACATTCAACATTCAGAGAAGGTAGAGCCGCTTACCTAATTCCTGCTTGTGTTCCTGAAACGTTTTTCTGTTCTGACAGGAAACGAGGCGGGAATTCGGTCTGGCGGTTTGTATTCTGGGAACCCGTTGATCACTCACCCCAGGAGCCCGTCAATGCCGTTCGTTGGTTAATCGTCGGGACGGTTGAGCAACGATTGCACGGCTGGTTCAGCTGATTGTTGGTTTCAATAGTAATTGCAATACCGATGGTCGCTTGACGTTCGCCACCAATGCTTCGTCGCAATCCCACGCGAATCGAGCTCAAACCCGAGGATCGGGAGGAGTATTTTGAAGCCAGACGACTCGCAGCCGCCGCCGCCGCTGCAACTAGTGCTCCCGGAACCAGCGGAGGGGGGGGAGGTGCACCTTCGGCGAACCTTCTTGCAGCCGCGCGTTTGGAGTCTGCGTTTCAGGGGAACCGAGCATCTGGTGCCCGAACGGGCCTCCAGAACTAGACTTCCGGCAGAACGGGCCTCCAGAACTAGAGTTATTTTCGTTTCATTCGGGCTTTCGAGATCCTAGCAATTTCGCTGGAGTCAGTGATCTAGGGCTTAATTCTCACCCTTTCGGCGATTGCGAATCCCGGAGGTCTTGTCGGCAGCTGATTCGTGATTTGTTTTAGGTCTTCGCGGATTCAAGAACTGGTCGAGGTCATCGCACAGAAAATTTGCTGCTGCACCTCCTCCTGCCGTGCAGGCTAACCTCAGGCGTCCCGCTTTCCCCTTTCTTTAAGCTTGTGTGTCTCTTGGCGTGGTTTGCTATCGGCCTGCACCCATGTTCCCGTGCTCGAGTGCACGCGTCGCCCCTACTCCGTCGTACATCTCGGGCCTCACTCCCTGTGCGCGAAGCTTACAGCGACCTGTTACTTCGCCGCGTCAGGTAACTTCACTCGTGCTTTCCGCTTTAGTTTTCGGTTATCACACCCTCTTAACTAGGGCTGCAATGACCTGCGAGTTTGCCGTTTCAGGTAACGTCAGAGACGTGTTTCTTTTCGTTATAGGTCTCCACTGCACCCGTGTTTCCGTTTCCTAGTGCACGCGTGTCCCCTGCACCGTCGTACCTCTAGGGTATCGTATCATTCCCTCTCCACTTAAGGTCACAACGACCTGCGATGTTGTCGCGTCAGGTATCTTCAGAGACGTGTTTTCCGCTTCAATCCCGCACCCGTGTTCCCTTATCTCCTCTCTCAACCTCTCCCAACCGCCCTAATCGTTGTGCTCATTCGGTTCCTCTCGTCCCTCCAGCTGACAATGACTCCTGCCTCTCTCTTCCCCTATTCCTCTCCTCCCTCGTCTCCCTCGTCTCCCTCTCGTCAGGGAGGGAGGAGTGGGCTGCTGCAGGTGGTGGCGCGGAGCAACAAGGGGCCCAGCCGTTTGATGTGGAGCGGTGTTGGGGTGAGTGGGTGCTGGGGGGTGCTGGATTGGATGGTGAAAGGGAAAGTTGGGTGAGGGGGAGTGGAAGGGTGACTGGCCTAGTGTTATAGGTTGTTGCGGATCATATGGAGGAAGCAAGCTCACCTGTTTGATGTGATATGGTGTTTAGCAAGTATTGGGGCTGGGGAAAAAGCAGCGGGCTATTTTTATTGAGGCAACCTTCCCCCTGGCCCTTTTTCACCCACCTGTCACTCCTCCCACTCACCCACCTCCCCACCGCCCTCCACCCTGCTCAGACCACCCGGTGCCATGTGAGCCGCACGGTCTTCCCAGTGCGCCGCCTGCTGCCCCTGCGCTCTGCTCTCTGCCCTGCTCTGCTCACTCACCGTCCTCTCACCCCTCTCCACCCCTCTCAGACCACCCGGTGCCATGTGAGCCGCACAGTCTTCCCAGTGCGCCGCCTGCTGCCCCTGCGCTCTGCCCCGGGCGACAACCCAGGCATCACTGCAAGGGACGATGCACCCCTGATTTTCAACGAAGTGGAATACTCTCCCGACGGGCTGGCAGTGCTCAAGCACGACCCCCTGCTGGCGTCTCACGAGCCTCATCTGCGCTACCGCTACGCCCAGTTCCTCAAGCTGAAACGAGCTCTGGAGCAGCACGAGGGGGGGCTGGAGCAGTTCTCCCGAGGTGAGAAATTATGGTATGATGGGACAAGATGAGGCATCCCATGGGTCTTTAGCTCCCTGAGTCTGGTCTGGAACGAAGTGGAGTATTCACCAGACGGGCTGGCTGTGCTCAAGCACGACCCCCTGCTGGCGTCTCACGAGCCTCATCTGCGCTACCGCTACGCCCAGTTCCTCAAGCTGAAACGAGCTCTGGAGCAGCACGAGGGGGGGCTGGAGCAGTTCTCCCGAGGTGAGAAATTATGGTATGATGGGACAAGATGAGGCATCCCATGGGTCTTTAGCTCCCTGAGTCTGGTCTGGAACGAAGTGGAGTATTCACCAGACGGGCTGGCTGTGCTCAAGCACGACCCCCTGCTGGCGTCTCACGAGCCCAACCTGCGCTACCGCTACGCCCAGTTCCTCAAGCTGAAACGAGCGCTGGAGCAGCACGAGGGGGGGCTGGAGCAGTTCTCCCGAGGTGAGCCATCATGATATGATAGGACGGGACAAGGTGAGCCATTGTGATGTATATGTTCGAAAAGGATGCGTCCGTTTTCCGTGGTTACTGTAAATTGGGCTGTGGTTTTGCTGTGCCTGTGTGTGCCTGGCAGGGTATGAGACAATGGGTTTCACACGGGAGAAGGATGCCATAGTCTACCGCGAGTGGGCTCCTGCTGCCACGTGAGTTGCAGTTGCAAAAGTTTAGCATTCTCAGAAGTTAAGCATTTTCGAAAGTTGAGAAATCTTAGATTTGACAATGGGCTTCACGGGAGAAAGATGCCATAGTCTACCGCGAGTGGGCTCCTGGCACCACGTGAGTTGCAATTGCAGAGGTTCATGTGGGCTTTGATTCGACGCCCTGCTGCAAGCAACATTCGCTTTTTGTTTCATGAGACCGTGCTGCCACACATGCATTTGTATCTCGAGCGAAACACCACATGACATGACTACCCCCCCTTTCCCCTCACCCTAACAGTCACAGTGCGGCCCAGCTAGTAGGAGAATTCAACGGGCAACTGCGATTAATACTCCCTCCCATTCCCATTTTCCACACCACACCCCTTCCTCCCCCTTTATAATCACAGGGCGGCCCAGCTAGTGGGTGACTTCAACGGGTGGAACGGCGAGTCGTGCTGGATGGAGCGCAACCACTTCGGCGTGTGGTCTGTGCGGCCGGCTACCACACAGACACACCAATTCTGTTCCCTGATCCCCTCTTTCCTCTCTCCATCCCCTGATTAATAACAGAGCCGCTCAGCTAGTGGGCGACTTCAACGGGTGGAACGGCGAGTCATGCTGGATGGAGCGCAACCACTTCGGCGTGTGGTCCGTGCGGCTACCACACAGAGACACACCAAACCAGTCCTCTCTTTCCCCTCTCCGCCCCTCATTCCCCTCTCCCCCCCCTTCCCTCACCCTGACAATCACAGTGCGGCCCAGCTAGTGGGTGATTTCAACGGGTGGAACGGCGAGTCATGCTGGATGGAGCGCAACCACTTCGGCGTGTGGTCTGTGCGGCCGGCTACCACACAGACACACCAATTCTGTTCCCTGGTCCCCTCTTTCCTCTCTCCATCCCCTGATTAATAACAGAGCCGCTCAGCTAGTGGGCGGCTTCAACGGGTGGAACGGCGAGTCGTGCTGGATGGAGCGCAACCACTTCGGCGTGTGGTCCGTGCGGTTACCACACAGGGACACCGAATCTGTTCCCTGTTCCCCTCTTTCCTCTCTCTGTCCCCTGTTTAAAAACAGGGCGGCTCAGCTGGTGGGTGACTTCAACGGGTGGAACGGTGAGTCATGCTGGATGGAGCGCAACCACTTCGGCGTGTGGTCCGTGCGGCTACCACACAGAGACACACCAGATCTGATCCCTTTTTTCCCCTCTTTCCCCTGTTTCCCCTCTCCTTCTCCTCCCTCACCCTTCCCTTACCCTTACAATCACAGTGCGGCCCAGCTGGTGGGTGACTTTAACGGGTGGAACGGCGAGTCGTGCTGGATGGAGCGCAACCACTTCGGCGTGTGGTCTGTGCGGCTACCACACAGGGACACACCAAACCAATCCGCTCTTTCCCCTTTCTCCGATCTCCGGCCCCCTTCCGCTCCCATTTCACATTCCCCCACCCCTACAATCACAGTGCGGCCCAGCTAGTGGGGGACTTCAACGGGTGGAACGGTGAGTCCTGCTGGATGGAGCGCAATCACTTTGGCGTGTGGTCCGTGCGGCTACCAGACAGGGACGGCCGGCCGGCAATCCCGCACGGATCGCGGGTGAAGATCCGCCTGCAGAGGGGGGACGGCGGGTGGGTGGAGCGCATCCCTGCGTGGATCAAATGGGCGACGGCTGAGCCGGGGAAGATGGGCGTGTGCTACGATGGCATCTACTGGGACCCCCCGGCTAATGAGAGGTTAGTTTGTATGCTTGAGAGGGACGTATGCACCATTGGTGATCAAGGGGGACGGCGGGTGGGTGGAGCGCATCCCTGCTTGGATCAAATGGGCCACGGCTGAGCCAGGGAAGATGGATGCATGCTACGATGGCATTTATTGTGACCCTCCCACCTCTCTGAACACTCCCACCTTCCACACAGCACTGCCCCACTCTCTTCCCAAACCCTTCTCGACCCTGTCCCGTTGCCGCTCTGTCCGTGCAGGTACCAGTTCAAGTGCCCGCGACCCCCTAAGCCTCTTGCTCCGCGCATCTACGAGGCGCACGTGGGGATGAGTTCGGAGGAGCCCCGAGTGTCATCTTACCTCTTCCCATCCCTAACTTCCCACCCTCGTTCTCCTTCCACAGGTACCAGTTCAAGTGCCCGCGTCCCCCCAAGCCCCTTGCTCCGCGCATCTACGAAGCCCATGTAGGAATGAGCTCAGAGGAGCCCCGGGTATCCTCCTACGTGGAATTCGCCAACTCAGTGCTGCCGCGCATCAAGGCCGCCCGTTACAACACCATTCAGCTCATGGCTGTCGCAGAGCACTCCTACTACGCCTCCCTTGGTTGACCTTCTTCTCCTTTCCATCCCCGTCCCTCCCCTCCCGTATTGTAGGTACCAGTTCAAGTGCCCGCGTCCCCCCAAGCCGCTCGCTCCGCGCATCTATGAGGCGCATGTAGGAATGAGCTCGGAGGAGCCTCGAGTGTCCTCCTACGTGGAATTCGCCAATTCCGTTCTCCCACGCATCAAGGCCGCCGGTTACAACACCATCCAGCTCATGGCCGTCGCAGAGCACTCCTACTACGCCTCCTTCGGTTACCACGTTACCAACTTCTTCGCCGTCAGCTCCCGCTCCGGCACCCCCGAGGATCTCAAGTACCTGGTAGACACCGCGCATTCCCTCGGGATTCGCGTTCTCATGGATTTGATTCACTCCCACGCGAGCAACAACGTTTCGGACGGGCTGAATGGGTTCGATTTCGGGCAGTCGGCAGCCGATTCGTATTTTCATACAGGCGAGCGCGGGTATCACAAGCTGTGGGACAGCCGGTGCTTTAACTACGCCAACTGGGAGGTGCTGCGGTTTCTTTTCTCCAACCTCCGGTACTGGCTGGAAGAGTTTCAGTTCGACGGGTTTCGCTTCGACGGGGTCACTTCCATGCTGTACCACCACCGGGGGATCGGAATGTCTTTTTCCGGAGAGTATCACGAGTATTTCTCGACTTCTACGGATGTCGATGCGGTGGTGTATCTCATGCTCGCGAATGATTTGATTCACGGGGTGAGGCCCGATGCGACGACGATCGCGGAGGATGTTTCGGGCATGCCGACGCTGGGACTGCCGGTGCCGATTGGAGGGGTGGGGTTTGATTACCGGCTGGCCATGGCGATTCCGGACCGTTGGATCGAGTATTTGAAGGACCGGCGGGACGAGGAGTGGAGCATGCGGGAGATTGTGCACACCCTGACCAACCGAAGATACACGGAGAAGTGTGTCGCTTATGCGGAGAGCCACGACCAGGTGAGCTGTAATGAGGATTAGGTGGGGTTATGGAGAAAGGTGAAAGGCACAAGCAGGTGAGTTATAAGAGAATCAAGTGAGAGCAAGGTGAAAGGTATGACCAGGTGAGCACGCTTCAATTGTGCACATGCTGACCAATCGGAGATACACAGAGAAGTGTGTTGCATATGCGGAGAGCCATGACCAGGTGAGGTGCTCACTAATAGCTCACGTGCTATATGTGATCTTCCATCTGCTTCCACATGTGGGCATTAGTGCTGATGCGTTTTGAGGAGTATTCTGAACAATCCGTTCTCATATAAAAACATCTGCTGCTGTTTTATCCCAACCCGTTCTTCCTTGCCCCGCTCTTCTCTTCTGCCCTCCCTGTTTCAATCGCTGCACTCGCCAGTCCATGGTAGGCGACAAATCCTTCGCCTTCCCCCTCATGGACTGAAACATGTATTTTCACATGTCCGTGCTTGAGAAGCCAACCCCTGCACTTGCTCTGCTCACTCCCTGTACCCGTGCCCTGTGCCCCCTACCCGTCTCTCTCCTCCCCAGTCCAAGGTGGGAGACAAGTCCTTCGCCTTCCTGCTAATGGACTCAGACATGTATTTCCACATGTCTGTGCTCGAGAAACCCACCCCTGCTGTCATTGCCCTCACTCCTTGTGCCCTGTGCCCTGCGCCCTGTGCCTGTGCCCCCTGCCCGCACTCTTCCCTTCAGTCCATGGTGGGAGACAAGTCCTTCGCCTTCCTACTGATGGATTCAGACATGTATTTCCACATGCCCGTGCTTGAGAAACCCACTCCTGCTGTCATTGCCCTCACTCCTTGTGCCCTGCTCTCCGTACCCCGTCCTCTCCCCCCCCAGTCCATGGTGGGAGACAAGTCCTTTGCCTTTCTCCTAATGGACTCAGACATGTATTTCCACATGTCCGTGGGAGAAGCTCACCCCTGCTGTCAATGCCCCCACTCCTTGTGCCCTGTGCCCTGTGCCCTGTACCTGTGCCCCCACTCTCCCCCCATCAGTCCTTGTTGGGAGACAAGTCCTTCGCCTTTCTCCCAGTCCATGGTGGAAGTAGTCAAACATGTATTTTCACATGTCCATGCTCGAGAGGCCAACCCCTGCTGTCAACCTTACCCCTTGTGCCCTGTGTCCCATACTCCTCCCTTGCCCTCAGTCCATGGTGGGAGACAAGTCCTTTGCCTTTCTCCTAATGGACTCAGACATGTACTTTCACATGTCCGTGCTTGAGAAGCCAACCCCTGCTGTCATTGCCCTCACTCCTTGCGCCCTGTGCCCCCTGCCCCCACTCTCCACGGCAGTCCATGGTGGGAGACAAGTCCTTCGCCTTCCTGCTAATGGATTCAGACATGTACTTCCACATGTCCGTGCTCGAGAAGCCAACCCCTGCTGTGGAGAGGGGCGTTGCTTTGCACAAGGTGAGCTGCTGTGTGTTGATTCAAGGGAGAGAGCGGAGGGAGGATCGTGGGTGTGCGTATTCCACATGTCAGTGCTCGAGAAGCCAACCCCTGCTGTGGAGAGGGGCGTTGCCTTGCACAAGGTATAGGGGGAAGAGAAGGGAGGGAGGGGATCGGGGAATAGGGGGGTGTGCCCTTTTCCACATGTCGGTGCTCGAGAAGCCCCGCCTGCTGTGGAGAGAGGCGTTGCTTCGCACAAGGTGAGCAAGCTGTGTGTGTGTGTGTGTGTATGTGTGCGTGCGTGTGTGCGTGCGTGTGTCTGCTGAGCATGGTGAGTACGTGTTTTGTGTTTTTCCACATGTCGGTGCTCGAGAAGCCCACGCCTGCTGTGGAGAGGGCGTTAACTTGCACAAGGTGAGAGGGCTGCTGTAACGTGTGCATGTTCGCGTGGGTGCATGTGGCATGTGCACACGCGTGTGTGTGCCTTGTGCACAAGATAGTTTGATGAGCTCCAGCTTCCAACAATCCCATCCTCCCTCGTCACCATTCCTCTCTCTCCTCGATGTTATTTGGTTTAAACTCCCCCCCTCTTTTTCTCTCGCTCCGTCTTGCTTTCTGAATTTAGGATTAGTGACCTTTCCCTGCCTTTCCCTTCTTTCTTTCCCTCCGCTTCCATCCCTTCATCCTTCCCCTTCTCTCTCCTCCTCTCCCCTCCCCTCCCCTACCCTGCCCCCCTCTCCCGTCCCCTCACCCAGATGATTCATTTCATCACCATGGCACTGGGAGGCGATGGCTACCTTGACTTCAGCCCTTCCTACTCAATGCCTCTTCGCTCCCCTCCCCTCTCCTCCTCTCTCCGGCGTTTCCCCATCCCCTCTCCTCCATCAGATGATTCATTTCATCACCATGGCTCTGGGAGGCGATGGCTACCTCAACTTCATGGGCAATGAGGTATGGGATGCAGATGTGAACGTGTGGATTTGATTGTTCAAGGTGTGCTTGTACAAGGCGTGGCTGTGACTGTGTTGTCATTAGAGAGTGGGATGCATTAGCTATGTCAACTTCATGGGCAACGAGGTATGTGATTTGATTTTGATTGTTTGAATGTGATATAAGAGGTGGAATTCCATCCTCGTTTGGGCACCTCAAACTTATGGGCAATGAGGTACGATATATAGATGGAACTGTGTGGAAGTGACCCCATAGATATGACTGTTGCAGATTTTACGTTGCTGTTTCTCCTTCCCACCAATTTCCCTCACATTAACGTCGCATCCATCCTCAGACCCTACATCGGTCTGGGCACCAACTGGACTTCCCTCGCAAGGGCAACAACTGGAGCTACGACTGCTGCCGTTTTTCTGAACTATTTCCCCTCGGCCCGCATCTTCATCCCTCATCCCTCAACTTTAATCCCCATCAGTTCGGGCATCCCGAGTGGCTGGATTTCCCTCGCGAGGGCAACAACTGGAGCTACGACCGCTGCCGGCGGATGTGGCACCTGAGGGATGACAAGCTGCTGCGCTACCAGGTGAGGGCTGTGTGCTACCAGGTGAGGGCTGTGTGCTACCAGGTGAGGGCTGTGTGCTACCAGGTGAGGGCTGTGTGCTACCAGGTGAGGGCTGTGTGCTACCAGGTGAGGGCTGTGTGCTACCAGGTGAGGGCTGTGTGCTACCAGGTGGAAGCTGTGTGTGGTGTACCACCAGCAGGCGGGGCTGTGTGGGCGTCACCACCTGTAGTACCAAGTGGGGGTTGATGTGTGCGAGAATTGCTTTGAGGTGCCTCAGAAAAAGAGTTGCTTGCAATACCAGGTGGTACCATTAAGGGTTGCTATGATGTGTTGCTGCACTGTTAGTTGCTTGTAGATACGACCGCTGTCAGCAGGCACTACCAGGTGATAGCTGTGCGGTTTATGGTGTGCTGTGCTGTGCTTTGCCGTGCACTTGTAGCTGCTACAGACACAGACGGTTGAATTTTTTAACAAGTCACAGGTTGTAGGCAATGTTTACCAGTGAGGAACTTGAAACCGGGGTACACGTTCGGAAATTGCAGGGGGATGGGGAACTGAAATTCTGGGGGTTGGGGCGAAATTTGGCCGTGATGTGGGCATCAAGAGATAACCCCTGATGCCCACCCTGGTAAATGTGCACCCCGGTTTTAAGAGATGCGAAGCCCATAAACGGTTCCAGCAGGCCATGAACCTGCTCGCTCACTACCCCCCCCCCCCCCCCCCCCCCCTCCTCTTTCCTCTCCCCCTCTCACGTCTTCCTCCCACCTTGCAGCACATGAATCGGTTCGACCAGGCAATGAACGCTCTAGATGAGAAGTATCACTTCCTTGCCGCGGACCATCAGATCGTGTCCAGTGCCGATGAGAAGGACCGGGTGAGTGAGTGAGCGAGCTCGCTTTCGGGTGGGAGTGGGAGTGGGAGTGGGAGTGGGAGTGGGAGTGGGAGTGGGAGTGGGAGTGGGAGTGGGAGTGGGAGTGGGAGTGGGAGTGGGAGTGGGAGTGGGAGTGGGAGTGGGAGTGGGAGTGGGAGTGGGAGCGGGAGCGGGAGCGGGAGCGGGAGTGGGAGTGGGAGCGGGAGTGGGAGTGGGATTTCATAACCCATTCCCATTGAGGACTTTGGCCCATAAGTTGAAGTCTCTCACATCCCATGTGTTGTTTCATTTCATTCACCCACACACGCATCATCCGTCCATCCCATGTGGTGAATGTCATTTTGAGAACGGAGATCTCCTTTTCTTCTTTGAGAATTCTCAAAAGCACTCCATTAGTTGAATTCCTTTTAGATCCTGAAGTGTTGTTTCATTTCATTCCATTTCATCCATCCGCCCTATCTGCCCCATCTGCCTCTACTGCGGTGCAGGTGATTGTGTTTGAGAGGGGCGATCTGCTCTTTGTCTTCAACTTCCATCCCACCAACACCTACGAGGGGTACGTGTTTGCTCCTCATGCAGACTCACTTTCTCTCTCGCCCTCTTTTCCCTCCTTTATTCCCTTAGTTTTTCAACTTCCATCCCAGGTACACCTATTAAGGGTTCGTCTTTTGCTGCATATGTGTCCTCCTCACTCCCCTTTCCCCCTCTTGCCCCCGTACTCTTTCTGTCCTCAACCCTCACGATTCATCCCACTAACACCTACGAGGGTAAGTCTCTTGCTCCTCATGCACCCCCTCCCCTATGATCCACTTCTCTCCATCCTGTGCCCCCACAGGTACATTGTGGGGCGCAAGGAGCCTGGCAAGTGAAGAGTGCGTCGCACTTGTGACTATCATTTACTCAACCCACCCCTCCTCCCCTGTACTTCTCTTTTCCAAACTCTCTGCTCCTTGCCTCCTCCCCTGCCCTTACAGCTACAAGGTGGGGTGCAAGGAGCCTGGCAAGTGGCGGGTGGTGCTTGACAGCGACGCTATTGAATTCGGGGGCCAGGGACGGGTGAGTCAAGGTTGAAAGCGAGAAGAGAAGCATAGTTTGAACCAAGAGGGTGAGTTAAGGTTTGAAGGGAGAGGAGAAGCATAGTCTGAAGCAGGAGGGTGAGTCACAAGGTGGGGTGCAAGGAGCCTGGCAAGTGGCGGGTGGTGCTTGACAGCGATGCTATTGAATTCGGGGGCCAGGGACGGGTGAGTTGGACTGGGGTGGCAGATGAGTTCGGTTCGGGACAAAGGATTGGTTTCGAGATATAGATGCTATTAGATGGCGGAGAGGCGAGTATGGAGATAAGTGGGAGGCCGTCAATGAATTCTTCTGCCATCCGTCTTCCGTTCTTTTCCCATCTGTTTCGTTTTGCGAAGCTCTCTTGTGTGGACCTCCTTTCTCTTTTTTTCTACCCTGCCCGAGAGCAGGTAGGCCATGACGTGGACCACTTCACATCGCCCGAGGGCATTCCGGGCCGCCCGGAAACAAACTTCAACAACCGCTGCTGCTCTCTCCTCGTTCTCTCGCCATCTAGAACATGCCAGGTAAGTGACACACTAAAGCTTGCACACAAGTCACTCTCCAGAGCCATTCGCATCCCAAGGTGTAAGTGTGGTACATGGTGTTATTGCAATTGCAAGGTGTAGTTTCTGGAGGTTGTTACGTTTCCCTTAGACGCAGTGAAGGGCTATTATCCGTTTATGTGCATGTAAGATTCAGGCGTTTTCCCCGTTATCCTGTGGCAGGTGTATGCACGAGTAAAGGAGGATGAACCTCCTGCCACTTTACCTCCTGCAAAGAGTGCCCTGAAGTCTATCGTGCCTCCCAGTCCGCTTCATCTTGAGTGAACATACACCCCACAATCAGTGTCTTGTATGCTGGTGTTTGTACACAGATAATCGCACACTGCGCTTTTGCATTTGGTGCCAAACTACCAGAGTTGGATTGGACGGCTTTTCCTTCATACATGAGCTTGTCATTTGTAGATTTCTTTAGTGACTTGATTTCCCAGCTTTGAAGTATTGGAGTTGACCTGTGTGGTAACCTTATGTCGTCCATCTCAGCTCCGCAGGCATAGCAGTCATACAACAGGCCAGCGAAGTGGTAACGCGGGTGTGCGATCGTTTAGCCTAGTTTCCCACCCCAAGACTGAATCTGGAAAATGATGTTCCCAAGATTGTTGTATGATGCCAGAAAATCTTATTTCTGCAAGGCGAGCTTCACCAGTTCATTAGAGATCTGAACCTTAGCCAACCATTGCAATATGCAAACAAACCGTTTCGAAGCGTAGCACATCTATCTGAAGCACGCCAGATTGAGCTCCGCACCACGCCTGACCCCCCACTGATCATGCTCACGCTCGTCTTTCCTGGTGGCACTGATCATCCCAAGGCCCGGGGAAGGGATGTCAGAAGTCGACGCGCCGCGACGTGTAGAATAATAGGAACCGTTTAGTGACTCTCAGAATCTCTTAGGTATAGCGCAAGCGGCCTTGCCGCTTCTCGGCAACGATATGGCTTCCGCATCGACCTCCGCGTCGACTTCCGCCTCATCAACATCCATTTCAGCTTCCGCAGGGATTTCCGCTTCCGCGGGGGCTTCCGCTTCCGCCTCCTCGTCACTCGCAGCGGGCCTTGCGCGCAAGTTGCGCAAGGTCCTCGACACGCGCACGGACTCCCCCGAGCTGCTGGCAGCGCTCGGCGCGCTTTCGGGCTTCTACCGCGAAAACTCGCTGGCCAATCGACGCGCTTTAAAGTCCACGATTGAGCGGAGAGGATTGGCTATTAACGAGGAATTTCTTCAGGCGTCGGAAGCTGCTCAGCAGGTACCAGATGGTTCATATGATGCGACTTTCACGGCCTGGAATTTGCTCCTCGGGACAACGAGCTGTCATGTTGACGATATCGAGTCATGTGTTAATGGCGAGTCGTGACGACAGTGCAGATTCATGGGGATGATATTCAGAATCTGACCGAAGGATCTGCATCGGAACGAACATGCGTCTCCATATGCGTCAGCGATCCTGCCTTATCACTTCGTTCCCTCTCCCCTCTTCATTCTTCCCACCATCCTTCTCCTGCATTCTTCCACCTTCCCCGGTTTCTCTCATGCAGGCGTTAGATGTGGTAGAGGCGGAGGTTCGGGGCCTTGCAGAGTGCTGCGACAGGTGAGCGCGTGTGAGAAGAGGCATGTGTGTACTGCAGTAGCTTGTAGCCTGTATGATTTATCATTCCTAATCCTTTCTGTTTCTGTTAGGTTCCTTGTACATTTTTCCGTTTTTTTTAGGTCATTGTCCGGTGAGCAGATTTGATTGCCAGAAAATGCTGACCTGGCAGAATCTGCTTACCTGACAGAGACTGCTAGCCTGACAAAGGCTGACGGAGGCTGTATCTTGGCAGAGACGGACAGAGGCTGTTAGCCTGACAGAGATTGCTAGCCTGAAAGAGACTGCTAACCCAACCTTGGTTCTTCTTCGTCTTCCTCTCGCTACTCATGATTGGCGTCGCAATAACCACATATGGATCAACAACACGCAATATGTTGCTGGCTACAGAGAGGCTCAAAATGCCTTTCTCTCTCTTTTCTTCCCCTCTCCCACCATTTAGAATCGGCGCGGCACTGACCACATGTGCACCAACAACAGGGGACATGGTGTTGGCGACAGAGAGGCTCAGGCTGCCCTGCTCCAATGTTCTCATCTTCCCTCCCCGACCATTCAGAATCGGCTCGGCACTGACCACATGTGCGTCAACCACAGGAGACATGGTGCTGACGACAGAGAGGCTCAAGTTGCCCTATTTGCTATCCTTTTTCCCCTCTCCCACTACCTAGAATCGGCGCGGCACTGACCACATGTGCGTCAACCACAGGAGACATGGTGCTGGCGACAGAGAGGCTCAAGCTGGAGCTGGTTACCACCGTGCGCCGCCAGCAGCTGGTCGCAGCCTTCCTCAGGAGCTACCAGCTCTCACCACAGGAGGTGAGATTCCTGTAACATAGTCTGGTCTGGTGCTGTTACTGCCATGAGCTGGTTACCACCGTGCGCCGCCAGCAGCTCGTTGCGGCCTTCCTCAGAAGCTACTAGCTCTCGGCCCAGGAGGTGAGACAGTGAGAGCTTCAAACCATAATCGGTTACAAAGCGAGGTGGTTACGATATGATCGTGAGCTGGTTGCCACTGTGCGCAGACAGCAAGCAGCTTCTTGTAGCCTCACTTTAGAATCTCCTTGGGCGCTGAACCAAGTGCTCGTTGTTTATGGCTGTCTGTCATAAATGTCTAGCTGCCTCGTGTTCCCTGTTTCCGCCTCTCTTCCTCTTGCCCTTGCTCCACATCACATCCCCTCAGGTGCAAGCACTGCGAGAGGACGAGATCAGCGAGAAGCTTTTTGAAAGGCATGTTACAGCGGGAGCATGTGATCCTGTGCTCCTTGCGTTCCCTGTCTCTGACTCTCTTACTCCTTCCCTTGCCCCTCGTCCTTTCAGGTGCAAGCACTGCGAGAGGACGAGATCAGTGAGAAGTTCTTTGAGGCACTCAACCGAGTGCATGAGATTCATGCCAACTGCAAGCTGCTGCTGCGCACTCACCACCAGGTATTCGCCCTTCCGTACCCTATTCTTAGCCTTGAAACCCACACGTTCCCTTGCATTCTATTGAAAAACGTTCCCATTTGCGGTGCGATTTGCCTTCCCTGCCAATCTTCCTCGATCTCTTATTTTTCATTGCTATCTGTGAACATACATGAAAATTCCCCTCGTTTCTGGTGCTATTCGCCTCCCCTGCCAACCTCTCCCTCCGTCCCCGCCTCCCCTCTCAAAGGCCCAATTTGGAGCTCAGGCGAACCTCAAGAATCGCCTCCCCTTTCAAAGGCTCGTTTCAGTGCTCATGGATGGATCCAATGACTGGATGCAAGGCATCTGAATTACAACATCGCGAATACCATCATTTCCTCTTCTTCCTGCGTTTCCCCCTCTTCCTCCCCACCACTCAGAGGGCGGGATTGGAGCTGATGGATCTGATGGCCGTGTACCAAGAGGGAGCGTATGAGAGGCTTTGCAGGTGAGGCTGGGCGTGGTTAAGGCTGGACCTGGGTAAGGCTGCATTTACTAAGAAGGAAACAAATGTATAATCCTCTGTACTAATTCATTACAACTGATGCACGTGCATGATATGCCTATCCTCCTCCCTCCATCCCTCATGCACCATTCCGTCACCCTTCTCCAGGTGGGTGCAGGCGGAGTGTCGCAGCCTGGGGGACAGCGATGGGGATACGCCTGAAGTGGGCCCTCTGTTGCGCACGGCAGCACATTGCCTCAAGGACCGACCCGTTCTCTTCCGCTACTGCACAGAGGAGGTGAGCTGGTGGACCGAAAAGATGACCTGATAGTCCCCTCTTGCGCACGGCAAGGTACGCCTCTTGCTCTTCCGCTACTGCACTGAGGATGTGATGCGTGTTTGTGGTTGTGCAATGAGGAGGTGAGGTGCTGCACTAGGGAGTAGTTGCAGCAAGGACATGATGTGCTGCCCTACTTCACGCTTACCTGTCATATTAAGACTGTATATTCGCAAAGTCCTGCCCGCATGCGCACCTGTGCGGCACTGCTCTTCACGTCCTGTGACTAGCTGGTTCACGCCACTCTGGTTGAAGTAAAAGCCTCCATACACCCACTTTCAAACACTCTTAGAACTTGCACTACGAGTGGTTCGCAAAGTGCACGATTCAAAAGCGTTTGAGAGTGTATGTATGAAGACTTTTATTTCAACTGGAGTGGCGTGAGAACTGTCACATTGAGTATTGCCGTCTTCTTTGCATTTTAAACTCAGTAGTTGCATTGCATATTGGTGCTCTTATTCCATCCATCCCCGTTCCCACTTCAACCTTCTCTACCCATTTCACAATGCACTCTTTATACTCACTACCGCCATGATGGAACGGATGCCCCCGCTCCCCCCCGCCGCCCCCTCCTCCCCACTCCTCTCTGTTCCCCTCTGTTTCAGGTGGCCAACACGCGCCACAACGCACTCTTCCGACGCTTCATCGCTGCTCTCACGCGTGGCGGGCCGGGTGGCATGCCTCGTCCCATTGAGGTGCATGCGCATGACCCGCTGCGATACGTTGGCGACATGCTGGCGTGGCTACACCAGGTGAGTCAGACATGCTGACATGGCAGGCCGGGTGGCATGCCTCGTCCCATTGAGGTGCATGCGCATGACCCGCTGCGATACGTTGGTGACATGCTGGCGTGGCTGCACCAGGTGAGTCAGACATGCTGACGTGGCTACACGAGATGAGAAGGGCATGCTGATGTGGCTGCACGAGGTGAGAAGGGCATGCTGATGTGGATGCAGCAGGTGATGCACGCTAGCGTTGCTGCACCACAAGTGAGGCATGCGGACGTGACTCCCTCCCTCCCCTCCTTCATCCCCCCAGCCAGCCCCCCTCTCCCAGGCACTGGCCTCAGAGAAAGATCTGGCCGCAGCTCTATTCACCAGCACAGGCAAACCCTCGTCCACTTTAGGTATGTCTTGTATGCATGCCTCGCTCTCAACTTTTTATCAACTCCTTTTTTGCTCCTCTCCTCTCCCTCCACCCCCCCCTTACCCCAGGCACTGGCCTCAGAGAAAGAACTAGCCGCAGCTCTATTCGCCAGCACAGATAAACCATCTTCCACGTCAGCAGAATCAGGACCGTCAGGGGGGGACGGATCAGGAGAGGGGGGGGCAAAGGCTGGGGGGGTAGATGCTGACGTGGCAGCAGTGCTGGACCGCGTGTTTGAGGGCGTGTGCCGGCCGTTCAAAGTGCGTGTGGAGCAGGTGCTGACGGGGCAGCCGGGGCTGGTGCTGTGCTACAAGCTATCCAGCCTGCTTTCCTTCTACTGCCATACGGTGAGTGCTACTGAGTGGCTGTTTAGCAGTCCCCGTGCCGGCCGTTCAAAGTGCGTGTGGAGCAGGTGCTGATGGGGCAGCCAGGGCTCGTGCTGTGCTACAAGCTCTCCAGCCTGCTCTCCTTCTACTGTCACACGGTGAGTTGATTCCCACTTATTGGCACATGGTCCATTGACTGCCACACAGTGAGTGAGTGCTACAGTGTGGCGTCTGGCAGCTAGTGTGCCAGAAGTGCACCTCACCTCACAAGGCAGTCTGACAGCCAGTTTGCCAGCCATTCAGAGTGTGTGGAGCAGGTGCTGACGGGGCAGCCAGGGCTCGTGCTGTGCTACAAGCTCTCCAGCCTCCTCTCCTTCTACTGCCATACGGTGAGTGCTACAGTGTGCCTCAAAAGGACTCTTGAAGCACCTCAAAGGGCTGCCTAGCAGTCAGCGTGCCAGAGCGTGTGGAGCAGGTGCCAACAGGGCAACCGAGGCTCGTGCTGTGCTACAAGCTGTCCAGTCTGCTCTCCTTCTACTGCCACACTGTGATTGACTCTCCTCTTAAAGTGACACAATGAGTTGCTCTCTTCTTATTGTCACACCAAAAGAACGTCTCCTTGTATTGTCAAGCAGTGAGTTTTGCACTGGTTGCAGCACCCCCTCACCATGCCCCAATCGCCCTGCTCAACCCCTTCTGAGAGGATTGTGATTCACAGATCTGCTGCAAGAACATCTTCCTCTCTTTCCTTCCCATCCCAATCTTCAACCACCCCCTCCACCTTGTTGCAGGTCGCTGAGCTGCTTGGAGAGCAAGCAGCCCTGTGCGTCGTCCTAAGGGACCTGAGCAAGGCAGCAGGGAGGGCATTCCTCGGTGCAATCAAGCTGAGGGGAGACCGCGTGCTGCGCTTCCCCGGTGCTCCGTGTTTCACGTATCTCCCACCCGAATCCCTCTCTCTTCCTCTCAACTTTTACTCACGCAGGTGGCTGAGCTGCTGGGAGAGCAAGCAGCGCTGTGCGTGGTTCTAAGGGACCTGAGTGAGGCAGCAGGGAGGGCATTCCTCGACGCAGTGAAGCTCAGGGGCGACCGCGTGCTGCGCTTCCCCCCGGAAGTGTGTATTGATGTCCTGCTCTCTCTCCTTCCCTCTCTCTATTCCCAATCAACCCCGCCACCTTGCAGGTGGCTGAGCTGCTGGGCGAACAAGCAGCGCTGTGTGTTGTTTTAAAGGACCTCAGTGAGGCAGCAGGGAGGGCGTTCCTCGACGCAGTCAAGCTCAGGGGCGACCGTGTGCTGCGCTTCCCCCCGGCAGTGCCCTCCGACCTCTCCCCCCCGCCTCTGGTGGGCGAGGGAGTGGCGGTGGTGTTGGAGCTGCTGCAGGCGCATGCCAGCATGATGGTCCCCGCTGGTGCTGCCAAACCCGACTTCTTACCTGTCGCCGCTGCGCTGCTAGACCCCCTTGTGGAGGTAGGTATTCCCTCCCTGACTGTGCCACAACCATGTATCCCTCCTCTCCTCTCCCCCCCACCTCTGGTGGGGGAGGGCGTGGCGGTGGTGTTGGAGCTGCTGCAGGCGCATGCCAGCATGATGGTGCCCACTGGGTTGCCAAACCCGACTTTTTACCCGTCGCTGCTGCTCTCCTAGACCCCCTTGTGGAGGTGAGTCTTCCTCCCAACAGTAAAGGCAGCACATACCTTGACAGAAAACGCCTCTGATTCTGCACTCCTCCTCTCTTTTCTGCTCCCCGGTCCTTCCACTGGCAGATCTGCACGCAGGCAGCACAGGCGCTGACAGCAAAGGCCGTGGCTGCCCTCTCCTCAAGCTCCCCCTCTCTCCCTTGCAGCCTGTTTGCGTTTCCATGGTGTTGAGGCGACCACTCAAATGTATATTTCGTTCGGGCCTACCCACCTTTTCCAACCTGCAGGTGTGCACGCGGGCAGCACAGGCGCTGACAGCAAAGGCCGTCACAGCCCTCTCCTCGGGCTCCTCCTCTCTCCCTCGTCGCGCCTCTGCTTCCGCATCCATGTCCGCTGCAGCAGCAGGGGAGAGTGGGCCGCTGGGCAGGCGAGGGATTTTGCCTCGGAGAAAAATGGGATATTTGCCGCCTCAGATTTGCTGCGCTCCTCCTCTCTTCCCTTCTCCCCATCTCCCCCTCCTCCCCACCTGCAGTTGTGCACGCGGGCAGCACAGGCCCTCACAGCAAAGGCCGTGACTGCTCTCGCCTCGGGCTCCTCGTCTCTCCCTCGCCGCGCCTCTGCCTCTGCATCCATGTCTGCCTCAGCAGGGGGGGAGAGTGGCCCGCTAGGAAGAAGGGGGTCTTTGCCACTGGGCAGGCGCGCCACTGAGGGGGAGGCCGATGGGGCTGAGAACACGGTAAGTGGCTTGAGTCGACTTTGGCATTGTGTTGGGGAACCAGCAGGCCGGGAGAGCGGCCCGCTGGGGAGAAGAGGGTCTTTGCCTCTGAGGGGGAGCCACTGAGGGGGAGGCTGATGGGGCTGAAAATACGGTGAGAAGCTTGATGTGACTTGAGTGCCGTGTATGCAGCAGCCTCTGCCTCCGCATCCATGTCCGCTGCAGCAGCGGGGGAGAGCGGACCGCTGGGGAGAAGAGGGTCTTTGCCTCTTGGCAGGCGTGCCACTGAGGGGGATGTCGATGGAACGGTGAGTGCTTCTGAGCTCGTGATTGTTTCTGACTTGACTCTTACATGGTATTTGTAGCAGCTGGAGGGGAGAGCGGGCCGCTAGGAAGAAGAGGGTCATTGCGTGGGGGAATGAATTGAAATATATTCTGTCTGTTTGAATTCATGCCCGATGGGAGCCACTGAGGGGGAGGCCGATGGGGCGGAGAATGCTGTAAGATGCGACGGCGAGTATCAAGATGCGTCTATCAAGATGCGACGAATCCGGTGTGCAGGACGCGATTTGACAGAACACGACATCTCTTGCTATGAGAGGAACGCGGTTCAGCTGAATGCGACAACATCACGAAGGCGAGCGTCACGGGAGCGTAATGGAGTATAAAGTACTGCTGTTCTTGAAACTGCTATTGTCGCTTCTCCCAGGTAGCAGTTTCAAGAACAGCAGTACTTCATACTCCATTACGCTCCCGTGACGCTCACCTTCGTGATGTCGTCGCATTCAGCTGAATCGCAATCCGCTCAAAGCAAAAAATGTCGTGTTCTGTCAAATCGCTTTCCGCACGCGGGATTCGTCGCATCTTGATAGTCCGAAGGCGCGTCACTGAGGGGGAGGCCGATGGGGCGGAGAATATTGTGAGTGTTTACATGTCGACTTGAAAACCGTGTCCACAGCAGAAGGAGAGGCGAATGGATTGCTGGGGAGATGGGCGTAGTTGCATCTAGGCAGGCGATCCACTGATAGTACACGGTGAGATGGGGCTGAGAACAGGTCAGTCAATTTTCATATGTTTCAAAAGGTGGAGAGAAAAGAGCATGTTGAGAGGTGCGCGTCTTCCTCGCCAGCCGCATGACTGCCGTGCAATACCCTCTTGCTCCTGCCATCACTCTTTCCCAACTCGCCTCTTTGCTTCCCACTTTCCCCCACCCTATATTTTGCACTACCCTACCATCCCGTGCTCTTCGTCCCCCACACCAGGCGGTGGCAGTGGCGCCGCACATTTTCCTCGCCAACTGCCTGGCAGCCCTGCACACATCCCTCGCCCTCTCAGTGCTGTGAACACCCTACCTTATCCCCTCTGGTTGTCTGCATTCCCCTACTTCCCACAACTCCCCTACCTTCATCAGGCGGTGGCAGTCGCGCGGCACATATTCCTCGCCAACTGCCTCGCCGCGCTACACGCGCCCCTCGCGCCCTTCCCAGTGCTGGAGCCCTACTCCCAGGGGCTGGCAGGTGCATTGTCCGAACATGTCACAGCCATGGTGCAGCTCGAGGTGGCAGCCATTCTCGACCACTGCATGCTCTCTCCCATCCTCCGCCTCATCGCTCAAATCAACCAGGCCTCCCAACAGCAACAACAACAGCAACAACAGCAGCAGGAAGGGGCAGAGGTATCAGCAGCAGGAGCAGCAAACACCTCCCCACAGTACCTGCCCCTGGCGCAGTTCCCAGAGGCGTCTCCCTCTGCGGTGGCGGAATCCCTGCAGAGGCTCTTTGCGCTGCTGGCAGGGGCGGAGGGGCGCCTGCCAGAGTTTGAGGCGCTGGGCGTGGCGAAGCTGAGGGCGCAGGCGGCTGGGCTGGTGGCGGGGGCGCTGGCAGATGCGTATGCAGCGGTGTATGAGGCGGTGTGTGATGGAAGGAACCAGTATCCTGATGCTGGGGGGCTGTTGCGGCATACCCTGAGCACATGCGCACAATTCTTGGGATTTGAGACGTGTTTGCTAGGTGTTGATTGGGTGGTGTTGGGTCTGGGGGAACTGGGACTGATTGGGTTGGGAGTGCCTGGGTTTGAGGCGCTGGGAGAGGCGAAGCTGAGGGCGCAGGCTGCAGGGCTGGTGGCGGGGGCGCTGGCAGATGCGTATGCAGCGGTGTATGAGGCGGTGTGTGATGGACGGAACCAGTATCCCGATGCTGGGGGGCTGTTGAGGCACACACCGGAGCACATGCGCACGATTCTTGGGATTTGAGACATGTTTGCTAGGTGTTGATTGGGTGGTGTTGGGTCTGGGGGAACTGGGACTGATTGGGAGTGCCTGAGTTTGAAGCGCTGGGAGTGGCGAAGATGAGGGCGCAGGCTGCAGGGCTGGTGGCGGGGGCGCTGGCAGATGCGTATGCAGCAGTGTATGTGGCGGTTTGTGATGCGCGGAACCAGTATCCTGATGCTGGGGGGCTGTTGAGGCATACACCCGAGCACATGCGCACGATCCTGGGGATTTGAGATGAGACGTGAAGGTTCTCTGATGGAGGTGTTTGGTTGAAAGAAAGGGGAAAGGGGGGGAGAGGAGTAAGGGTTGTTAAGGAACATGCCAGAGCGTATGCGCACGGCCCTGGGGTTATGAGACATGGTCCCCGAGTAGTAATTCATTGGTGTTCCCTTGAGGTGGTTGATCGGGGCTGGTTGATGCATGAGGGGCAAAGGTGAAGGTATTGTATGGATTTTGAGGAGTTGGATTCGAGAATAATATGTTTCTCAAGTGAGGATGCTAACGATACATTCCACATTTGCGCGTGGTCACAGTGGGTGCACGGAGCTTCTGTATTCAAGCGCAAATGTGCCGTGATGATCTTTGTTGTCTATATACGTCAGTGTTTTTTTTCGCATATCCGATTTTTCTATCTCCGAATTGGTTACGAATGGAGGACTTGATAGCGAGGATAAGTACTGGCCATTCCCTTCGGTCCTTGCGAGTGGTGGCGAACCGTCGTGTGTGATGTGGTGTGGTGTGCGACAGCGCGCAGCCGAATGGCGGCGGCGAATTCCTGAGAACTCCAGTCAACGAAGTCGCATGCCGAACGGTGTCATCTCCGACAAGCAAGGTCCGTCCGGTCGGTTTCTACGAGTATCTAAGGCTTGCATCGCTTGGCCATGTTTCCCGTCAAACCTTCGGCTTCGCGAAAAAATCTCACCAACCAGAATGCGTTTTCCTCGTCGTCCGCGTCGCGTGAGTGCTCCGGGAATTCGTGAACCCTCCAACCAGGCCTGTCGATTCACAAACATTTGACCATTTCCCCAGAGAATTTCTGCTCAGGGTTTTTCAGGGTAGGTATATCCTTCGGCTTGGAACCCTAGCTGACAGCGTTGGGAAAATCCATACGAGTCGAAGCTGTCACTCTGCGACCAGCTGGTACGAAGTTCGTTTGTAAAGTGCAGAGCGCGAAGGGCGGAAATATAAATCAAAACAAAATAAAGGGTCTGGAGAACTTCGATGTTCGACAAACATTGTCATCAGAATACCTCGTTATTGCTTTCTTTATGACAGTAGAGCCTTTGTAAAGTGGAGTCATTTTGAAAATTGCCCGACATGAACCTGTGCCCTTTAAATTACACCTTATTATAAATCATAGTCCACCACCATTATCGGGCCTGGTTTGGTTCCGCTGCAAGCACCTCCCTGCCACGATCCTGTAAAAGTCGTTTGTAAAGCAGCCCCTCCACAAAGACGTCACCGAAGAGTGGGAAGGGAATCTCTGAGAGTGGTTAGGTTGTTTAAATAGAAACATTTTGAAGCGTGTGGAGGTCTTCGAATTTCGACAAACATCGTCCATCATAATACCTCGTTATAGCTTGATTTTCAACAGTAGAACCTTCATATAGCGGAGTCGTTTACAAGTTTACTCATCATGGATTTGTACCCTTTCAAATACATCTCACATTTTTTATTAGCCCGTCGCCAACCTGGAGTTCTTGGCTAAACCGTGCCTCAGGACGTGGTGCAGAACGTCTTGGCACGCCCCGATGCACCGCGGTGCACCGGTTTGAAGCTTCCTCGCACACGGGAACCCAGTGCATCGCCTCGTCCTGGCACGCCCCGGGGCGTCCCGGGACGAGGCGATGCACCGACGCGTTCCGGCACGCCCCGGGGCGTGCCCTGGGGCGCCCCAGCAAGCTCGAAAAACATGCGAATTCTCGAAATTGTGGTAACATGATCAATTGTCGCGCAAGAATCTCGACAAGGTTGTTTGTTGATTGCGAGTTGTTCTTGGGGGTATCAGTCGCGAGATTGTTTTTGGCGAGCAGATTTCCGAAGGTCAACCGTGTACACATTTTTGAGCGAGTTTCACTTCTGAGTCTTTCGCCTTCGCCCATTGCTGGTTGAAGGTTCGGATTCAGCACTTGGAAGGATACCTGAAATTCACCATGAGCAGTGACGCGTGCCACGGGGCGAGTTGGGGCGCCCCGGCACGCCCCGGGACGCCTCGGTGCACCGGGTCTGGACCCGTTCCGCACCACGTCCTAATCCACGAAGCTCTGAGAAATTCGTTCTCCACAATACGTCAAAGAAGAGTGAGAAATCCCTTGGGGGGGGGCTGGTTTTGAAAACAGACAATTTGAAGGGTAGGAGGCTTCGGATGTTCGACAAACACCGTCCATCATAATACATCGTTATAGCCTTTGTTGCGACAGTAGAACCTTCGTTTAGCGGAATCATTTAGAAGATTACTCGTCACGTAATTATACCCTCTAAATTACATATCTTTCTTTAGCATAGCCTACCGTCATTTTGGGGTTCTTGGCTAAATTTCTGTGCCCGATCCACAAAGCTCTGAGAAATTCGTTCGTAGAGTGCTCCTACACAAATACGTCACTTGAAGTCTGGGCACCCGTGGGAGAGGTAATTGTATTATCGAAACAATCTGGAGGGTGTGGAATATCTTCGGAGTTTCGACAATCACCGTCATTAAAATACCTCGCTATAACTCGCAGCCGGCTTTGCTTAGGTAGCTAGGGTAACTTTGTTTCTGACCCATGAGGCTCGGAGCAGTAATCAAAATGGCCTGAGTCTTAGGGGGTGATCGGGCTGCTTACCCCGTATTTCAGGGCTCGTTTCAGGCCAGCTCAGGGTTGGCTTCAGACCAAGCGACAGCCCTGCCTCCAACACACCTCGGAATTCCACCGCGCGCGAGAACCTCCCTGACTTTTCTGGCTGGAATCCCCTTGAACCTACCACTTCGCTGAACTCGGCAAAAGGCCGCAAGGGGGGCGGGGGTGACTCACCTCACCTCACCCACCCCACCCCACCCCACCACCGCAGGCAACCCAACCCACCCATTGGGACTTGAGCGAGACACGATTATTGTTCGATGTATGCGGTCTAAAGCGACTCATCGCGGTTTTGAACGGTAAAATCTTCCAACCTATTTCAACCGTGTGGAACCGTCCCGAGTCATGAAACCATGGAGGATTTGTTTACCCGTGGGGCCCTCCACGGTACACACACCGATGCGTGGGTTACGCTGTCGCTCGTCCCTTGCGTTTCTTGGACTGCTGGCAATAATGGTGACGTGACGTGTATGCTTAGCTTGATCTTGTAGCACGCTTTCCTTCGCCCATCGATACCACCAGCTAACAATAGTACCGTGACTTCTGGAACCGAGAAGGCTGCGTTCGATGTTCTCCCGCGCGTTTTAGACGAGTCTCTCTCGACAACCTAAGCTTCGATGGATAAGAGGCTGCCTTTCCATTCAATTAGCAGCATACGGGCTCGAATCTGTAGTAGTTAATGCTTAGTCGGTCCAAAGAACTTTCCCTTAGATAACCTAGTAAATAGTTACCAGCTCAACACAGCTTCCTCACCCTCTTTCGCAATTGTTTCGCTGAAGACATCTGCTAGTCTGTAGTATATTCTTTGAAAACTTCGCTTATCCATAAGGGGTGCAATTTTTGTGAGGCATCTCCTATCCTTCAGTACCCGAATCTAAGAAAATGAGGCGAAATTCGGTGATTGGAGTAGTTGCTGGGCTGCTGCTTGTAGCTTTGGCCTTCGAATCGGCTCCGGCGTTGGTATCTGGAGCGAATTCCAAGCTACATCCATCGCAAGGTGGTGTAGCATGTTCCTTAAGTGTATGAATTAGTCTTTGCAGCAGATTCCGTGCTACGGAAACTGGCTTACTATTCCTGGATATCTCAATCTGTCCTTGGACCAGCTTTCACATAACTCTGATTGTCAGGTAGTGTAGTGCTTTGTTCCAGGGATATCTGTACTGTAGCATGCGAGAAAAATGAAACCACTCATCAATCGTTGTGCTAGCTGTTCTGGCCAAGGCGATGGGAAGTCACTCTCATCATAATCGCACACCCTACATGCACTCAACATCCTTTACCTTTCTCTCATCAGTCCCAGTGATAGCTGTACTGGGCGAGGTCATGCGTTCCCACTTTCATCATAATCACGCACGCAGTCACACTCTATATCTCAAACCCTGCTCATCAGTCCCAGTGCTTGTACTGGCCAAGGCTATGGGGTCGCACATTATACGCACTCATTTACAGTCATTGAATCCACACTCGCTTGACATCTCATACCCCGCCCTCTGATCAGTCCGAGTTCTGTTCTGAGCAAGGCTATTCCCACTCTCATCATAATCACACACTCATCACACTCGTTGAATCCGCACTCACTTGACATCTCATACCCTGCCCTCTTATCAGTCCGAGTGCTGTTCTGGGCAAGGCCATTACTGTCATCATAATCTAGCATTTACACTCGTCCAAGCCACATTCACTCTACAGTCCCAGTGCCAGCTATATTGGCCAAGGCCACGGGGCCGCACTCTCATCATTATCACACACGCCATTACGCTTGTTAGAAGCCACATTCACACCCCTCTCCCTCATCAGTCCCAGTGCTAGCTGTACTGGGCAAGATGTGGGGTCGCATTCTCACACGCATTTACACGCGTCCAAGCCACGTTCACTCCACATATCACACCCTTCTCCCCCATCAGTTCCAGTGCTCGCCGCATTGGGCAAGGCGTGGGGTCGCACTTTCGCCAACTGTTCTCAAGCCACCGGGTTGACGTGTGATGACAAGGGCATGGTTATTGAGATGTGAGTGCTCGGAATCCGATCCTTCATTAATCTACCCACCGTTTATCGGCTCGTCGTCTACCCGATGACTATTTCCCTCCAAGTCGTTAGATGCTGCTGATCGGCATGGTCGTCGAGGCATGGCATGGCACGGCATGCCAAGGCATGGCATGGCATGGCATGGCATGGCACGGCATGGCCGTTCTTCTAGCTTGTGTGCAAGCTGGGAAACATGCAGCAAGAAGCGTGCTTCATTAAGAGTCATCGGGACTTCGCGCAAGCAGCACTGGCTGTGCCGTCTCCTCCTGTTGCCCTCATCTGCGCATGCCCGCACATGCCCGCACATGCCTGCACACGCATTTTACAGAGCAGCACTCTTCATCCGAGGTGTTCTTTACAAGCCTAAATAACAGGTTTCTTATGCCACCCTTTTCTCCTGTTGCCCATGCACGCACATACATGCGGGCACGAGAGCAGGTCGCTGAACAACACTCAACTCACAGGGTCCATTCCATCAGTGATCGGCAAACTCTCGTTGCTTGCTCACCTGTAATACGCCTTCTTCAGGGCCCTAACGCGCTCTTCCCTCCTGGCATATAACCGCAGCATGCCTTACTGTGCTACATAAACAATACACCCATAACAAATGTACATGTCAGCTTCTCCTGCTTCTCCCCTCTCCATCGTTTGTTTTCTCTTCCTCCTTGGCTCCTCACTGCGTCCAATCCTTCAACCAACCTCGTCTCGTTAACAATGCCTCCCTTATTCTCCAGTGCAATCCCCATCGTTTCGCTATCTCTGCCAAACCAATCCCCTTATCTTCCCTGCCCATCCCTTTCCCTTCTTACCCTTTCCCATCCTCTCCCCTTCTCCAGCAACCTTGGAGCCAATCAGCTGACGGGAGTCATTCCAAACTCCATCGGGAGTCTCACCAGCCTCTCCTACCTGTCAGTGCTGCTGCCGTCTCCTCTCTCTCATCTGCCACAGTGTGGATTTCAACCCTCTCTATTATCCTCCTCCTCCTTCCTATTGCCTCCTTCTGTACCTGTAGGATATTTCCTGATTGTTTTTTTATCTGCTTCCAGCCCTTTCCCTGTTTCTTCCCTGTTGTTTCTCTTGTATCGTCTCTGTCCCCTTCCCTCCTCACCCAACACTCCCGTCTTCGCTCCCCCCTTCTCTTCCCCCTCTTGTCCCTTCTCTCCCCGTCTCTCTTCCCCTCCTCTTCCCCGTCCTGTTCCTCAGTCCCTTTTTCGCTCGTTCTTTTTCCGCATCTTTAAGAAACACTTCCCCCTTCCTTCCCCTCCATTATCTTCCCCTTGTCTTACAGAGGGCTCTACAACAACCAGCTAGCCGGTCCGATTCCGAAATCCCTTGCGGCACTCGCCAGCCTGCAGACACTGTAAGTCCAATTTCTAAGCGCTCATAAAATAGAAGGAGGAGCGCCCATTCGGCCAGTGTCCTCATGTTGGTATGGAATTTCTTTGCTAGCAAGATCAACTTCCAATTTGCCCTGTTCTGCAATCCCTTGCAACCCTTGAAAAGCTGCAGACCCTGTAAGCACATTGGCTTGTCCGCTCTCCCCCCTGCCACAGAACACTCTCTGACAATCGTCTCAACGGCACCCTTCCCAATGCCCTTCCCAATGCCCTTCCCAATGCCCTTCCCAATGCCCTTCCCAATGCCCTTCCCAATGCCCTTCCCAATGCCCTTCCCAATTCCCTTCCCAATGCCCTTCCCAATGCCCTTCCCAATGCCCTTCCCAATGCCCTTCCCAATGCCCTTCCCAATGCCCTTCCCAATGCCCTTCCCAACCTCACAGCACTCCTCAAACTGTGCGCTCCCCTCCATCTTCTTCCACCCCTTCCATCTCATCCCTTCTATCCCATCCCTTCCCATCCCTTCACTCCCATCCCTTCTCTGCCATTCCTTCTCTCCCATCGTTACTCTCATCTCCCATCTCTCTATCCCTTCTCTTCATCCCTACTCTTCCATTCCTTCTCCCACATCCCTTCTCTGTCATATTTTCTCCCCCATCCCTCCTCTTCCATCCCTTCTCTCCCATTCCTGTTCTCCCATCCCTTACTCTCCCATCCCGTCCCTCCCATCTCTTCTACCTTTGTCACCGTCCCTCCTCCTGTTGCTGCCATCCATTCTCTCTTTGCGTAACGTCGCTCTCACGTCAGCTAAGCACTCATCCTGCAGCAAGCTGTCAAACTACCTGTTCTTTCCGCCTCTTCTTTTGAGTGCGCGTCCTTTGCACACTCTGCGTTGTTCATCAACACAAATTGAAGCATGTGTGCAACCTCATACCTCTTTTTTCCTATGCCCCTTGTTTCCTCATTGTCTTCTCCACTGCCCCACACCCACCCTCTCCCATTCTCCCCCTCTCCACCTCTCTGCCTCTCCAACCCTCCTTCGCGGATCCCACCATCAGCAACTTGGACAACAATTTATTCTCAGGCTCCCTCCCTTCAACACTCTCTGCTCTCTCCTCTGCCACTTACCTGTATCCCCTCCTTTCACCCCTTCTCAGATACTCCTCTATGTCCACCTTTCCTGGTGTCTATGTCCGTTTTCACCCCTATTTCCCCCCTTCCCCCTTCCATGCATCATCATCCACACTTCACGCGTTTCTACGTTATCACCACGCTTCCATTCTCTTTGGGCCGTTCTCATGCACCCTTGCACCTTTCCTAGTAGTACCTTCATTCATGGTCAGACCTGTACTGTACATTCCTCTTTTGAGAATTCTCAAAAACCATTCCTCTTCAGCTCGAATAGCCATGGTGACCTTCAGCTCGAATAGCCATGGTGACCTTCAGCTCGAATAGCCATGGTGACCTTCAGCTCGAATAGCCATGGCCCATGGTTCGATGGAAGCCTTCCACAGCAGCAGCTCTGTATCAAAATCAATTATGAGAATCCTCGAAAGTGATTTCAAGAGAGCCCACGACTTGCATCTACCAACCACCATCTCCTCAACTCAACCCAATCGTGCACTCTACTGCATGGCTTGGGCACAACCGAATCCCACCATCACTCACTCCACTCCACCGCTCTGCACTCTCCTTCCTTTCCAGGAGCATCTCTGACAATCTCCTCAACGGCTCCCTCCCTGATGCCATTGGCGCTCTCTCTGCTCTCCAAAGCCTGTATTGCTCCTCAACCCTTTCTATCCCAATGTGTTCCATCTGATCCGAGCTGGTGCGTGCAATGAGGTGACTTTTGAGTCGATGCAAAAGTCACCTTTTCCGCTCAATGTATTCCACTCTATTGTCCGAGCAGGTGCAATCGCACAATTCGCTTGCTTCACTTAAAGAGTGCGACGCGTTCGTCAATACCCCTGTCTCCCTGCGCTGCAACTACTCGCGCCATGCTTCCCTCTTATCTCCATGCCCCCCCTCTCAATCCCTCTCCGTCTCCATGCTCCCTTTCATCTCTTTGAAGCATCTCATAAACTCCTCTCACTTGCTCCATGCTCTCCCTCTCAATCCCTCTCAATCCCTCTCAATCTCTCTCGATCCCTCTCAATCCCTATCAATCCCTCTCGATCCCTTCTCCCGCTCCTTTCCAGTGGTCTGGCCAACAACACTCTCTCTGGACCACTTCCCACATCCTTAGCCAACCTCACCAACCTCGTTACTTTGTGAGTGGGTCACAATGAGAGTCACCCTGTGGGTGAGGTGTGTCTTGAGTTGATGACTTGGAATAAACACACACGGTCTGGCCAACAACAGTCTGTCTGGACCCTCACCTGTTTCCTTCTGAGGCGCCTCAAAAATCCTCACCTGTTTCCTTCTGAGGCGCCTCAAAAATCCTCACCTGTTTCCTTTGGTCAACCTTACCAACCTCATCACGCTGTGAGTGACACTGAGTTGTCGTAGAACAAGTTTTGAGGCGCCTTAAAACTGAACAATGGGCCCTTGAGTTACCGATGAAAACAGGTGACCTGTGACCAACCGCGAGGCGAACTTTCTATCCATATCTTCTATCTGCCCAGCAAAGCAACATCCTTGTTGGTTGTTGGAAAGTACAACTCTCGGTGCTGAACCCTCACTCTTGTGCGCTTGAGGCTTCTTCCACCCCCACCCCACCACCAAGGGTATGTTTGACCAGCAAACTATCCCCGGTGGTGAAAAAAGTGTTGCTTTGAGACGTCTCAAAACAACACTTTAATCACCCAGCAAAGTATCCTCAATCCGGTGGTGAATGCTCTGTGTTTGACCACCCTGGTGAAATCTCTCTCACTCAGCCTTGTTCGCTTGCGGCCCCTCCCTCCCGCCACCCCAGGGGTCTGACCAACAACAGCCTCTCAGGTCGCCTTCCCTCCTCCATTTCTTCCCTTGGGAAGCTCGAGAAGCTGTGAGTAGCGTGGCTTGCTTGCACCCCAAGCACACCTCAACATGCTACCTTGCACCCTCCACATGCCATGCCACCATACACCTCTGCACCCATCCTCACCCATTTTTCACCCATCTTCTTTCCCTTGTTCCTCTTCCAGCAACCTGGGCTTTAATCTTTTCACGGGCGCCCTACCAAACAGCATCTGGCACATGACTGCTCTAACCAGAATGTGAGTGCTCTGGGGAAAGCAGGATTGAAGTCACCTTTGTGAATGCTCAATATTCACTACCCAACAGCATCAGGCGCATGACTGCCCTAAGCAGGATGTGAGTTTTTTCTTAGAGAGAACGAAAGAAAGAAAGAAAGAAAGAAAGAAAGAAAGAAAGAAAGAAAGAAAGAAAGAAAGAAAGAAAGAAAGAAAGAAAGAAAGAAAAAGAAAGAAAGAAAGAAAAAGCCTGTTGAATGTGAGTCTTCTATGACGGATTATCCCCCTTTTGTCACTTGCCACCGCCTGCAGAGCATGTCGCTTGCAAAGGCCCTCCCACATGCGATAAGACGACTTCTTAGGCGCCTCAAAGCTTGTCTTAGCTTGCCTTTGAACAACACATTGCACATCTACCTGCCAGACAGGATCCTTCCACATGCCACAGCTCATCCAGAGCTCATCCACAACTCATCCACAGCTCATCCACAGCTCATCCACAGCTCATCCACAGCTCATCCAGGGCTCATGAATTCGTTCTTGGGTTGACTCCTCCTCCTCCTTCCTCTCTGGTCTCCCTCCTCCCGTTCCCCACAGTCGCCTGCGCAACACGTCCCTCTCTGGCCCCATCCCACCGCGCATAGGGGAGCTCAGGAGACTCAGACAAGTGTGAGTGAGGTGTGAGTGAGGGTGTGAGTGAGGGTGTGGATGAGGTTGTGGGTGAGGTTGTGGGTGAGGGTGTGGGTGAGGGTGTGGGTGAGGGTGTGAGTGAGGGTGTGGGTGATTGAACGAGTTTGCGAGTGAGGGCTTTTTAGCCCACTCAAAAAGCAACACAACTCTTTCAGGCCCCTCCCACTGTGCATAGGCGAGCTCAGAAGACTCAAACAAGTGTGAGTGAGAGGGTGTGAGTGAGGTGTGCGTGAGAGTGTGAGTGAGGGTGTGACTGAGGTCGTGAGTGAGTGCGTGAGTGAAGCGTGAATGAGATGGGTGTATGCGAGAGGGAGTGAGGATGAGTCTAGAGGTCTAGCATGGTTGGCACGGCATGGGTCGCAGAATTGGAACTGCACTGCAGCAAGCTGAGAGAGAGTGTGCTTCACTGCAGCAAGCTGAGAGAGAGTGTGCTTAAGAGATTACTTGCCTAATTCCTCCTCTCTGCTGCCTTCCTGCAGGGATCTGAGCAACACCGGCATCAGCGGTGTTCTTCCTGAATCCATGGGCCACCTGGACAAGCTCACGGAGCTGTGAGTGCCACTTGTCAACTTCTCACATATGCGCCACGTGTCAGTTTCTCACGTGCGTCACGTGTCAGTTTCTCATGTGCGTCACGTGTCAGTTTCTCACGTGCATCACGTGTCAGTTTCTCACGTGCGTCATGTGTCAGTTTCTCACGTGCGTCACATGTCAGTTTCTCACATGTGTCACGTGTCGCTTCTGCAAGCCATACCATATCATCCCACCTTATGTTTTCTGAGAATTCTAAAAACACGTTAGCCATACCATACCATGTCATCCCACCTTGACTTGACCCTTTTCCCTCTTTTCTTCCCTCTTTGCTTCTCTCTCTCCTTCTCTACCTTCCTATTTCCTCCTCATCCTCTCTTTCCACCTCTGCCCTACCAGCTACATGCACGGGTGTCGGCTCAACGGACCGTTGCCCGCACTACTAGGCAACCTCACAGCCCTTCAGACACTGTGAGGCTTTTTGGGAAGGGGGGGGGACCTTCGTCTTGTCAGGGTTAAGTTTTGAGGTTTCTAAAAGTGATCTCAACACAGCCCTTCAGACACTGTGAACTTTGTGAGGGGGAGCCTTCGTGAGTTTTGAGGCGCCTCAAAACTCGTTTCAACGGATCGCTGTCCACGCTACTAGGCAACCTGGCAGCCCTAGAAACACTGTGAGGTTTTCTTAGATGGGGGAAGCTTCGTCTGGTTCAGCGTGCTGTGAATGCACGTGTGAATAAACTCAAAGGTCACCAAAGTGTGTGATGTGTTGCATACATACGGATACTTCACAGTGACGCCACAGCATGCTGTATTCACTTTCGACTGACACACTGACGCCTCCCTTGTTGAATTCTCAGGAATTGCTTTGACAGACACAGTGACACGGACGGACCCATGCCATGCTGTATCTGCTTTTGAGTCGACTCACAAGCCAGCACAGTGACGCCTCCCTTGTTGAATTCTCAAGCATTGCTTCGACAGACACAGTGACACGGACGAAACCCATGCCACGCTGCATCTGCTTGCCTCTGCTGCAACACCCGCTCTCCTCTTCTCTCCTCACGATGAATGCTGCGCACACTGTGTATCATGCTCACCCAACCCGCTGTGTATCATGCTCACCCAACCCGCTGTGTATCATGCTCACCCAACCCGCTGTGTATCATGCTCACCCAGCCCGCTCTGTACCATGCTCACCCAACCCGCTTTGTATCATACTCACCCAACCCGCTGTGTATCATGCTCACCCAACCCGCTGTGTATCATGCTCACCCAACCCGCTGTGTATCATGCTCACCCAACCCGCTGTGTATCATGCTCACCCAACCCGCTGTGTATCATGCTCACCCAGCCCGCTCTGTATCATGCTCAACCAACCCGCTCTGTATCATGCTCACCTAACCCGCTCTGTATCATGCTCACCCAACCCGCACTGGTTTCCCATTTTCCTTCCCCCTCCTCCTCTTCTTCCCACCCATCTCCCACCAGCGATCTAGGAAGCAATCATTTATCAGGGGAGATTCCCCTGTTTATTAGCTACCTCACGCGCATTGAGACACTGTAAGCCATGCGGCAAGGGGCGTTGGAGGGCGGGATATTCAGGCAGAGGACGAGTTCCAAACTGGGTGTGGAGAAGCCTCAAGGGGGTGCGTGAAGTGAATAGCAGAGACGTGGAGGAGCAGAGAGGAACAAGCACAGGAATGCGTTAAGACACAAGCACAGAAACAAGCACAGGCACCCACAACCACAACACAACCAAAACCACTTTCTTATTGACATCCACTCCCATATATTCATTGTATTACAGTCCCATCCTGCACATCCACCCATCCCACCCATCCCATCCATCCACCCACACCCATCCACACCTGTCCACAAACCTATAAACGCACTGTTCAATTCAATCTCCCCAGGGACCTCTCGGCCAATCAGCTCACAGGAATGATCCCTGACACCGTCAGCTCCATGCAGCGACTGCGACAGCTGTGAGTGGCTTGCCTTGTGTGACGTCAGCATCAGCACACTGGCGTGACGTCAGCACTAGGAAGTGATGTCAGCATGCTGATGAGATGTCAGCGCACTGCTGTGACATCCCACTAGTGTAATGATGCTCCCAGTGAAACCCTGGCCGCCTCCTATTGAGATCTCTCAAAAACACCTTCCCATGAAAGTTTCTCATACATACCCCCCCTTACTCCAACCGAACCTTAACTCCTTCACCCTGCCTGCCCACTCTCTCTTTCGCTCTTCTGCGTGTGTTCATGCCACATCCTTTTCGAAACATCCTCCACGTCCCTACACCCCTCTCGCATTTGTCCATGCCGCCACATCCCCTCTGAAACATCAGTGATCTTTCCTCCAACAGCCTCACAGGCTCTGTGCCCTCCACCACTGCCCTACTCACCAACCTCACCTCGCTGTGAGTTCCTCTGTCTCCTGCTGTTCCGTTCCATACACTTGCTTTACTTTTTGCCTCCTGTTTCACAACCCAGCTTTGCCAACCTTGCCCCTTTTCTCCCTCGTCTGTCGTTAAAGCCTATCATCAAAGCCTGCCTGCCTCCCTGTCTTTCACCCTCGTCCCCTCCCTCCCTTCTCTCTCGCCTGCACTCACATTTCTCAAAATTAGTCTACCACCTGCAACCCCATCCCGTACTTCTTTTGGGGAAATGGACAGTCACGCAAGAAGAAGCTTGGCGTGCTTGCAAACAATAACCCCTTCCTTTCCTTTTGAGGCACCTTAAAAGTAAACTCAAAAGTTTTCGAGGCGCCCCAAAATTAAACTTGAAAATATTTTAGGCGCCCCAAAAGTAAACTCAAAAGTTTTTAAGGCGCCTATGAGTAGACTCAAAAGTTTTTTTAGGCGCCTCGAAAGTAAACTCAAAAGTTTTTTAGGCGCCTCAAAAGTAAACTCAGAAGTTTTTTAGGCGCCTCAAAAGTTCTTTTTTGAGGAAGTAGACAGTCGCACATAATGAAGCAGCTAAGCGTGCTTGCAAACAAAAACCCCTCCCCTCCCCTCCCCTCCCCTCCCCTCCCCTCACCCCCCCTCACCTCCCCTCCCCTCCCCTCCCCTCCCCTGTCTTGCCCTTCGTCCCTCGCCCCCACCATCCATTTCTTTGGCTATGGCAGTGACCTGTCGCACAACAACCTCTCAGGGACGATACCGGCTTTCTTCTCTACACTCACCAGTCTGCACGCGCTGTGAGTTGCCACTTGACTTTTGAGGCGCCTCAAAAGTCGTGACTTGTCGCATAAGAGCCTCTCATGGGCGATACCGGCTTTCTTCTCTACACTCACCAATTATCGTCACCGCGCCTTCCATCTCTCCTACTCCAAGTTGATTGACCTCATAGCATCAGTGAGCTCAATAGGTTTGTGTGGTTGTGGGCTTTTTGTCTTCATTACCACTCAGCAACACTCATCACTTGGCTATCATAGGCACCGTTCCTTCCGTCTCTCCTACTCCAAGTTGACCGACCTCGTATTCAGTCGAGCTTTCTTGCTCGGGTGCTCTCACGGTCTCACCACCATCGCGCCTTCCGTCTCTCCCGTACCAAGTTCACTGACCTTATATTGTGAGCTCTTATCATCTTTGCCTCCTTGTGACTGATCAACAGTGTCCGCCTTGCATCTCAGTCGAGCTTTCTTGCCCTGGTTCTCTCGTCACTACCATGGCTTCTGCCTTTCCCACTCAAAAAAATTCACCCACCTAATAGCATGAGCGCACTTCAACGCTGCCTGCTTGTGATTGATCAGTCACAAGCACCATAGACGAGGGGAGAGGGATAGTGGATTTGGTGATGGAGAGGTGGCAGAAGCAGATGTAGCAGCTATCGATTGGAAGGAAGGGGAGAGTGTGGACTGGGGGGGGCGAGGGAATCAGCAAAGAGCGTGGTAGGAGTGTGGAAAGTAGGTACCCATAGGTAGGCATCAGGCCAAAAAATATAATAGTTGTGGAAATTATCTTATATCAGTCTGATAAAAACGGGTGCTATGGGGGAGGGTTCAAAGCGAAGGAAGTAGCAGTTTCTTGGGCGGCCATCACCAAGGCTTTGCATACGAAGGAGTTTAGGCCGAAAGCTACAAGGGTGAAGGTGGTGGAAGCACTGAAGGAATCGGTGGAAAGTTATCTAGCAGCGAGGAAGATTGACTTGATAAGAGGGAACAGGCAACTAGTGAGGCGTTGGTGCAAGCACACAAGTTTGGAAAACTCAAAGACCAAAGAAAATAGTGGAGTCGTCCAACCCATTTGCCGACGGAGTTGCGGAAGCTAACGCATGCTTGGCAGCGGACTCGAGATAAAGCGGAGATATTCGCTCGTGAAGCAAGAGCAGCACAATCCAGGCATGTGGTAGCATGGGCTCGCATTCACTCTGCTGCTGCTGGTGGAGATGATATTGCAGGTGCCAATGCTGCCACACCCTTGAACCGTGCTGCTGCTGCTTCACGAGCGAATGCCTCCGTTTTATCTCGAGCCCGCTGCCAAGCATGCGTTAGCTCCCACTACTCTGTCGGCAAATGGGCTGGGCTCTCTCACTCCTTTCTTTAATCTTTCAATATTTCCCGACTTGTGCTTCCACCAACGCCTCACTTATTGGCTGTTTCCCTTTATCAAGTCAACCTCTCCTGCCGTTAGATAGCTTTTCATTGATTCTTTCAATGCTTAAACCACCTTAATTCTTGTAGTTTCCACCTAAGCTCTTTCGTATGAAAAACCTTGGCGATGGCCGCCTAGGAAACCGCAGCTTCCTGCGTCTTGAACTCTCCCCCATAGTGCCCCTTTTTATCAGGCTGATATAAAATAATCTTCACAACTATCATACTTTTGGTCCCGATGACTACTATGGGTACCTACTTTTCACATTCATGTCATGCTCCCTCCCTGCCGATTCCTCGCCCCTCCTGTCCCGTCTCTCCTATTCCCTCCCTTCGCTGGCTGCTGCAGTTGCTTCCGCCTCCTCTCCTTCACCCTATCCGCTATCCGTTTTCCGTCTCGGTCGAGCTTTCTTGCCGTGGTGCTCTCAACACCACCGCACCTTCCGTCTCTCCTGCACTAAGTTTTCCGTACCTCATAGTGTGAGCTCAGCTCATTACTTTATGCTTGTGACTGATCAATAATGCCTGCCTTTCGTCTGAAGAGTGGTGATGTGGAAGTCATACTTCGTCCAAAGAGTGGTGATGTGGAAATGACACCTCCTCTGAAGAGTAGTGATGTGGAAATCACACTTCTTCTGAAGAGTGGTGATGTGGAAATCACACTTGCTCTGAAGAGTGGTGATGTGGAAATCACACATCCTCTGAAGAGTTGTGATGTGGAGTCGTGACCTGTGGCATAAGAGCCACTCAGGGACGATACCGGCTTTTTTCTCTACACTCACCAGTTTGCACGCGCTGTGAATTGCCACCTCAATTTTGAGGCGCTTCAAAAGTCGTGGCCTGTCGCGTAAGAGCCTCTCAGAGACGATACCGGCTTTCTGGAAGCTGGTGGATAAGATAACGTTAGTAATATTGTAATCTTGGAGACAAACAGCTAGGCTGGGTGATTGCAATGCATGCATGCATGCATGCTCGCACGCTTACGTTGTATTTTCACAATGCATCAACCCTCATAATGCATGGTGCATGCTCAAAATTCAGGTACACCTGTCAGCACCCCTACCACAACCTTCCTTTCCTCGCCTCTCATCTCCCACAACACCCCACTTCCCCCTCTCTCGTTCCCACAGCGATCTGAGTTACAACCAGCAACTCAGTGGGTCCGTTCCTCCCTTTCCTCTCCTCTCATCTCCCACACCCCCCTCTCTTCTTTTTCTACAATCTCTCATCCCCACAGTGATATGAGCTACAACCAGCAGCTCAGTGGGTCCATTCCCGCTACTCTCGGGCAGCTCAGCAACCTCACCGTGCTGTGAGTGAAAGTTCACAGAGCTGTGAGTGAAACTTCACTGTGCTGCAATGGAAACTTCACCTTGCTGTGGATGAAACTTCAACGTGTTATTAGTGAATTCACCGTGCTGTGGATGAAATTTCACCGTGCTGTGAGTGAAACTTCACCGTGCTGTGAGTGAAACTTCACTGTGCTGTGAGTGAAACATCTGGTTTCTACCTGCCTTTTCTCTCCCTCCCATCCACCTCAGTGCAACCAACGCCACCAGCACCACATGTCCCCTCCTATCAACGCCATGCAAAGTGCTTTACAAACCCACTCCCCACAACCTTCTTCCGACCCTTACCATCCTCTCCTTTGTTTCTCCCCCTATCTCTCCCCTCCTCAGTGCAACCAACGCCACCAGCACCACGTGCCCTCTCCCTTCAACGCCATGTGAGGTGCCCCAGTCACCCTCCTCGGCCTTCTGTCAAGCCTGCCCCGAATTCTGCTCCTCCTGCTGCACTTCCTGCAGTGAGTGTGAGATTCTGTGTGTGTGTGTGCGTTTGAGTGTGTGTGTGCGTACAAGATGCTCCTCCTCGGCCTTCTGCCAAGCCTGCTGCACCTTCTGCTCCTCCTGCTGCACCTCCTGCTCCTGTGAGTAATGGAATACATCAGAAAGATGCGTACATTCACAGTCGCAACTGCATGTGTGTGTGCGTTTATTATGCTTCCGCAGAACTGCGATTCTCCCTTTGCTCCTTACCTTCCCTCCTCCACCCACTTCCTCATTCAAGCTAATCTCCCAACCATGCTGCTCCCGTTTCTCCTTTTCCCCCTCCCCCCACTCTACCAGCTGACCCCTGCACCAGCTACCCCTCCAACCCATGCGGCCCAGGAGACTGCATCCCCACCTCCTCTCCTCCCACCCCCGCTTCTGCCTCCACCAAGGGGGTACTTCCCCCAACCTCCTCCACCTTCTCTGCTGCTCCTCCTAACAGCTCCTACACGTGCCGCTGCTCGGCGGGTGCTGCTGCAGCCGTGGGAGCCAATGGGCTGCCGACATGTGTCATTCCCTCCCCGCCACCGCCTCAGGAGTCTTCCAGTGCAGTTGGTGAGTCTGTGTGTGTGTGCAGGGCGAATGAGTGAGTGAGTGGCCACGAGTTAGGAGGATCTTCAACTGCTGTGGGATGTTGTCTGCGTGCTGATTAGTGAATAGCATTGAGTTTCTTGCCGTCTAAGGTTTTTGTAAAGGTTAATGCACTTTCACTTTTCAGTCATCCCCTTACCCTCACTTCCTACGGCTCATGCAGACACCTCCCTCCTGTTCCGTCGTCCAGCCACATCATTTAGAGCCATCATCTCTTGAGACATCTCACAACCATTCCTTGCCCTTCCATCTTGCAGCCATGCCGACAGGAGCTATCATCGGCATTGCGGTCGAATCCTTTGCTGTTCTTGTGTGCTGCTGCATGTTCTTCAGTCATCCCTGTATCTTTCACTTCCTGAGAGCTTTTTCGTACATTTTCCTTGCATTATCATTCCCTTCTCCAGCCATGCCAACAGGAGCAATCATCGGCATCGCAGTCGCATCCTTTGCTGTGATTGTCTGCTGCTTCACGCTCATCTTCCTCTGCTGGCGATGGCGCCACACCAGCCAGAGCCGAGAGCTGGTCAACCAAGGTGGGTGAAGGTCAACACAAGTCAACACGGGTCAATGGAGGTTTGAAGTTGGTGAACAAATATACTCCTTTGTGCTGCTTCACGCTCATCCTCCTCTGCTGGCGATGGCGCCACACCAGCCAGAGCAGAGAGGTGGTCAACCAAGGTACGCAGGTTAATGCAAGTCAACACAGGACAACAGAGGTCAACACAAGTCCACAACCGGTCAACAAAGGTAACCCTGTGTGCTGATGCTCTCTTATGTTGCTCTGCTGGCGATGGCACCACACCAGTCAGAGCAGAGAGCTGGTCAACCAAGGTACACACAGGTCAGCGCAAGTGGTTGACACAAGTCCACATACGTTAGTACAAGTCAGCAACCGGTCGTACGAGAACAGCAATGCTCAGCTCAAACTTCACATCATAGAAGCACAAGCAAATAATTATTAATGTGAGGTGACTTTTGAGTCGACTCAAAGGTCACCCCGGTCATACGAGCACACCAATACTCAGATGAAACATCACATCATACGAGCACGAGCAAATAACTATGAATGTGCATCTATGATGTGATGTTTGAGAAAACAGCAAACAACTTTGGATCTGGGTTCTCAATTATCACTTCTGATTCATGAAAGCACGCAAGACCATACGTAATGAGGTGACTTTTGGGTCGACTCAAAAGGCTTTTGACTTTGAGTCGACTCAAAAGTCACCTAGAAAACAGCGAATAACTCTGGATCTGGGTTCTCAGTCACCACTTCTGGTTCATGAAAGCATGCAAGTCCATTCGTAACGTTTCAGTATCTTTGCCATTCATGAGGAGTTTACTTTTGAGAATTCATGCCACTGTCCTTTCTGCTCCCTCCCTGTTGCCTGCTCCCTGCTGCTTGCCAATTGTCCGCCGACAGGTTGGCAGGCAGAAGCAGATCGAAGCTACCGCAAGGATGAGTACTTCTGAGATTCGTGACTTTGCTACTGTAACAGATCGAAGCTACTGCTGCAAGTACCAGTTTAGATAAGCTTGAAACAACTAGTGTTTCAGAAAAATGAACTTGTCCCTTTAGGTTACGGTGTCGTATGAATGTGTCATCACAATGCTTTGCTCATCATGCTGTATATGTTTAATAGTGTTGAGATTAGGCTGAAACAACTACGGCACTGTACATTTTCCAAATTTGCAACTATTGAAAAGTTCATACTTTTTTTTGTTGTAACTACATTTATCAAAAACATAGATACGTCCACAGTCGCACCAGTTCATACTGGTGCGCAGTGTTCTAAATCATTGGAAACATAAAACTGCACCCCGTCTCAATTAACCGTATTAAACCGTATCAAACATGATGTACGAAGGTCGAGGACGGCAGCATGTCAAGCACAAGCCAGCTTGTACGGTCCTGCACTACACAATGTAGCTAGACGCTCGCGGACGGCAGCGTGAGGGTGAAGCGCTGCTTCAGAAGTCTCGTACTGGCAGACCAATGTACTGCAAGCAATGCCCGCCGCCCTGGACGTTCGCTCCAGGTGAAACCCATCCCTCTACCAATCATGGCCATGATGCTCATGCGCCGTCCGCACCAAACTCGCCGCCGCTGCCGCACCCGCTGCACTCCGTATGCTCGCGTAGCTCGTCGCTTCGGTCTCGTCCTCGTCGCAGCATGCCTCGCTGTAAGCATACGCCGTCCTCGCGATCCCTCCCCCACCCTCCCCTTCCCTACCCGCTCCCTACTCCCTGGCGCAGTGGCGCCTGCGCCGACTACAGTAGTTAATGGTAGTACCCATTGCTTTTGAGGAGCCTAAAACATAAAATGCGGGATAAGAGACGACTTTTGAGGTGCCTCAAAAGCCCCAATGGCGCAGTGGCGCCTGCGCCGACTACAGTAGTGGCACCCATTGCTCCTGTGCCGCGCCTTCCCCCCTCTACAGCGTCGCAGCGCCACGCTCGTCCCACGCCCTCTCTTCATATTGTAAATACGTACAGAGTAAACGCAATGTAGCAGAACCTGTAGGTACATAGTACCCATTATTAAGATTGAATCCCCTGCTCGTTTCCGCGCGCAGGCGTGCAGCGCGCAGCAGCGGAGCGGATCTGCGCAGCAGCAGAGCGGATCTGCGCAGCAGCAGAGCGGATCTGCGCAGCAGCAGAGCGGATCTGCGCAGCAGCAGAGCGGATCTGCTCAGCAGCGGAGCGGAGCGGCGCAGCCAGGGGCGATGCTGGCGGGATTCGAGTATCCGGAGCACGTGTGCGGGGCGGCGTGGCGCGACGAGTACGCGCAGCTGCACGCGCGCATCAGAGCTGCCAGCAGAGCCGCATGGCGCGCGCGACAGCCGCCAGGTATACTAGCACTAGCATGCCATTGTCGCGGCAACTAGGTAGCGTCGGACTGCGGGACGGGCGCGACAACCACCAGGTATTCTACAGGCTGGTAGCGTCGGACGGCGGGGCGGAGCGCGCGATGAGATGATGCGCCGCCGGTTTCAAGTGTGTGAGTGTTGGTTGCGCGAGAAATGGCCGTTCCGGAGGGGCATACGCGTCATGATTGCGCGGACGGGGAGACGCAGAATGCAAGCGCGTACGGGTGCAAGTGTAAAAACGTACTGCTCCGCCCTCTGCTCCGCCCTCTGCTCCGCCCTCTGCTCCGCCCTCTGCCCCGCCCTCTGCCCCGTTCCTCCTCTGCAGCCTCCCCGCCGCCTCCGCCAGCCGCGCCGCCGCCTCCGCCATCCGCGCCGCCGCCACAGCCAGGAGCTGAGCCGCGCAGGCGCCTGGCGGCGGACGCCTCTCCCCCCGGCGCGGAGCCGGCGGCGCCCGCGGTGCGATTCCTGACGTACGACTGGTACGGGTCGTGCGGCGGGCTGGGCGACTACCTGATCGGGCTCGTGACGCTCTTCCCCGCCGCGCTGCTGGACCGCCGCGCGCTGCTCGTCGCGCAGCCCTGCATGCACGCCGCGTTCCGCTCGCCGCACATCGACACCGCGCTCTCCCCCGACGTGCCCATGGGGGGCGGCCGCCCGCTGCTGCGGCGCGCCGCCACCACGCCGCCGCCCCTGGACGCCGCCGCCGCCGCCGCGCGCGACCGCGACGGCGCCAACGCCAGCGCCGGCGACGGCGGAGGCGGCGGCGATCGCGTCGGGGAGGACGACGATTCGCTGCAGCGCGCGGAGTGGCTCGCTCCGCCGTGCGAGCGGCTGGAAGGCAACATGAGCGCCGCGGGGGCACTCGGAGACAGCAACAGCAACAGCAGCGCGGTGCCGTGTTTGGACCTGCTGCGGCACACGTTTGAGATGGAGGCGCTGCAGCAGCTGAGCGCGCTGCGCAACTACCGCGTGCGGTACAACAAGGGGCTCCTCATCACCACGCTCCTGCACGACCAGGGGCCGTGGGCTAACGCGCTCAGGCAGCTGGGGTTCAAGGTCGCGTACGGCTTCCGATGCATCCTCCGGTTCCTCTTCAGGTGCGCCTTTGAGAGATTTTAGGGTTGACACAACAGTAGGTTTTTTTTAGTCGACTCAAAAATAGGTTTTCCTTAGTCGGCTCAAAAATAGGCGTTTGAGTCAGACTCAAAAGACAGATGAGCGCGCTGCGCAACTACCGCGTGCGGTACAACAAGAGGCTGCTCATCCCCACGCTCCTGCGCGACTAGGGCCCGTGGATCGCCGCGCTGCGCCAGCTGGGGTTCAAGGTCGCGTACGGTTTCATGTGCATCCTCATGTTCCTCCTTAGGTCCGCCTCTCGTGCCCTGCAACACACACACTCACACCCGCACGCTGCTGTGCCCTGTGCCGCGCACCACAGTTGTCTGTGGATGCTGGGACTGCGAGGTACTGCCTGCCACGTATGCATTGAGGTACTGCACTTCTGTCACTTGAGGTACTCCCCTCTGTCACCGAGGACTGCGAGGTACTGCCTGCCACGTATGCATTGAGGTACTGCACTTCTGTCACTTGAGGTACTCCCCTCTGTCACCGAGGACTGCGAGGTACTGCCTGCCACGTATGCATTGAGGTACTGCACTTCTGTCACTTGAGGTACTCCCCTCTGTCACCGAGGACTGCGAGGTACTGCCCGCCACGTATGCATTGAGGTACTGCACTTCTGTCACTTGAGGTACTCCCCTCTGTCACCGAGGACTGCGAGGTACTGCCTGCCACGTATGCATTGAGGTACTGCACTTCTGTCACTTGAGGTACTCCCCTCTGTCACCGAGGACTGCGAGGTACTGCCTGCCACGTATGCATTGAGGTACTGCACTTCTGTCACTTGAGGTACTCCCCTCTGTCACCGAGGACTGCGAGGTACTGCCCGCCACGTATGCATTGAGGTACTGCACTTCTGTCACTTGAGGTACTCCCCTCTGTCACCGAGGACTGCGAGGTACTGCCCGCCTGCCGCCACCCACCCATTGATATCCACTTCTGTTTGTCGCGTTTCTTCCCCTCCTCCTCCTCCACCCCCCCACACTTCTTCTTCCCTTGTCTCAGCCCGCGGCCAGAGTTGTGGAATCTACTGGTGGGGTTGGAAGAGCAAGCGTGGGGAAAGGGCGTGGTGCGAGTTTTGAGGCGTCTCAAAAGTCCCACATTGCTCATCCCACTTTCCCTCCTCCCCCTGACTCAGCCCGCGGCCAGAGGTGTGGAATCTACTGGTGGGGTTGGAGGAGCAGCTGTGGGGGGAGGGCGTGGTGCGGGTGGCAGTGCACGTGCGCGTGCCGGACAGGGAGGTGTGGCAGAATGATGGCATGACGGCGCAGAACACGACGCAGCAGCAGCTGGACGACCTGATCGCCAAGGCCAACAGCACACTGCAGTGCGCACAGGTGCTGAGGGGGGGGTGTACGCAGTGAGTATGTGGGTGCGGCTTGCATGTGCTGTTTTAGTAGACTTAAGGATCGCTGGACCGCGAGGTGTGGCAGAATGACGGCATGACAGCGCAGAACATGACGCAGCAACAACTGGACGACCTGGTCATTAAGGCCAACAGCACGCTGCAGTGCGCACAGGTGCTGCCCGGGGGTATGCAGGGTGATGAGTCTGGTTTTGAGTCGCCTCAACCTCAGAATGACGGCATGACGGCGCAGAACATGACGCAGCAGCAGCTGGACGACTTGATTGCCAAGGCCAATAGCACACTGCGGTGACGGCTGACGAGGGAGTGTACAGTGAGTATGTGTGTGAGTATGTGTGTGAGTATGTGTGTGAGTATGTGCGTGCGGTGCGCCTTGCATGTGCCTTGGCATGGCACTAACTGTCACTTCATGCACGTGCCTCACTCACCATCACCTCCTCCTCCCCCTTCCTCTCGCCCCCTTCCCCTTCCCAACTTTCTCTCTCCCCTTCCCCATGGCGAGTGGTGGAGGAGAATTAGTACCTGCCTCCCCTGAACGTGAAGTGGATTCTCATCTCATCCCTTTTAAGAGTTCTCCTCCACTTGTGAAAGTTTTTGAAATTGAGTTATGTGATCCGATGGCATGGCAGATGGTGGAGGAGAATTAGTACTACACACCTTCCTTGAACGTGAAGTGGGTTCTCATCACTAGCGACAATTCTCAAAAGTCATCTCCCCGTCCCCACTGACTTTTGAGTCGACTCAAAAGTCAACTCGTGAAGTGGGTTCTCATCACTTGTGAGAGTTCTCAAAAGTCATTTCCCCATCCCCATGGCACGGCAGGCAGTGGAGAATTTCTGGTACCCGCCTCCCCTGAAGGTGAAGTGGATTCTCATCACCAACTCACACCTGCTCAAGCAAGCACTCAAAGCCAAGTACCCTCACAAGGTGTGCACCCACCCACACAAGGTGTGCACCCACCCACCTGGCTGACTTTGAGTCGACTCAAAAGTCAAAAGTCACCTTTTGAGTCGACTCAAGAAGCATTCGCTCAAATCCAAGTACCCAAACAAGATGTGCACCGACCCACCTGCACTCATGCTCCACCCGTCCGTCCCCAACCACTCCTGCCATCTGCCCCACCTTTTCTCCTTCGGTTAATCCTCTTCACTCTCGCCACACATTTCTTTCCATTCCTCCGCTCTCCTTCCTCATTCGCTCTTGTCCTGCCTCACACCTCCTGTACTCCTCGTTCACTGCAAACCCCCCTGTGCATGTGCTGCACTGCCCCTGACCTAAACCCGGGACTCGCCAGGTGGTGGCTACGGACTTCATTCCATGGCACTCCGCCCAAGCCACGCAGCACGAGCAGCACACAGACCTCGCATCGTAATATGAGCGTGACGCGGCGCTGCGTCGTTCCCCCCATGTTCCCCTCCTGTTCCCCTCGTTCATGCCCCGCCTTGCCAGGTGGTCACCACAGACTTCATTTCCTGGCACTCCGCCCAAGCCACGGAGCACGAGCACACAGACCTCTCATCATCATCCTCGGAAGAGCGCGACGCGGCGTTGCGAGGACTGCAGCACTTCCGCGAGACGGTGGCGGAGTGGGCGCTCATAGCGTCCTCCCACGCCTTCATCATCCCCGTCTCGGGATTCTCCCGCACCGCCGCGCTCTACGCTCTCCGCCCACTCAGCATCTACGTGCCTCCGCCTCTCTACCCGCCCAAAGCTGCTGAGAATTCTCAAAAGCCGCCTCCCCCCAACGCCTGCGACCCTGAGAAGCCCGCAGCCATCGATCGCTTCGGAGTCACCTGGAGTGGCATCTAGGCTCGCGCTCACTGCTGCCCACGAGCCCTCACTGCATCTAGGCCCCCATGGCATCCAGGCATGAGCTCATTGCTCATGGGGCCTGGAAGGTTTTGAGATGTCTCAGAACACTACCTTTTATCACGTGGCGTGCTGTGCTGCTCCCCGCCACTCGCTCGTGGGGCCTGGAGCGCCTTGGTGTCGGCTTGGGGTATGTTGAAGCTTCATATGCGCCAGCCCACCAGGTGGGGGGGACGGGAGAGTGGGTCTGCAGAAGCGGAGGTGGCGGGGGTGGTTGCATACGCTGGCACAAGGTAGGGTGGGAGGGTGATGTGCTGCCTGTGACTTCGTTCCACGTGGGCAGAGGGCGCGTTGGTATGGTCACAAAGAGCCACAACTACAACTGTTGCCAGTGACTCCGCTCCGCCGGAATCAAAGCCCGTGGCGGCGGTGGGCGGGCGCTCGCACAACCACGGTGACAACCGTGCAGTGCAGTGCAGCCTCTACCTGCTGCCACCCTGCCATGCGTGCTGCCTTCCAAGGGAGGCTTCATTTGAAAAGCGTGGCAGTTAAAGCTGGCAAGTTGCAGCCATGATCGTCATTTGCGTGGCGGGTTTATGGCCAGGAGTTGGCGCGGTGTACGCAGGCTGCTTCGTAGATGTTTGGGGCCTGCCGTGGGAACTGCTCTCCGCCTGTGTATTGAGCAAAATGATTGTTTACGGCAATTTGCATCTATCGGTACACTGTTTTAGCGGGGTATACTGTACAACTCGCCCCTGGACACGCTGCTGTTCATGGCCATGGGATGGGGAGGGGGGGGGGAGGAGGGGAAGGGGAGCGGAGGACGGGAGGCTCCCTTTATGAGGAGTTTCCTTAGTGTGGTCAGTTGTTAACGAGGACATTTCGGGTCATGCATGAGTTGGTTGGGCGGACAAACTTCAGCCTCCTGTCTTGTCCCAAAGGGAGTCCTATCCGGATTCGTCCCCCAAAGGCAGGTCTATTACCAAAGTGATGTTGGCATAGCATCAGAGACACCCCCATCGGGTAATAAAGGTAAGAAGGTGGGGGGGGGGGGGGGGGGGGGAGAGGATACCGGTACATCGGGTAATAACGGTAACAGTTTACTCATTCTGGTGCATCATCCCAAGCTGAACTTACAAAACAATAGTAGATAGCGCTGTAAGTTCAAAACAGAATAAGAATACTAGATTTTAGAGAGAAAAAGGAGGTTTGCTTAAGGCCATCGCACTCTGATGCTGTCGTAGAGAGAAATATACTCCTTAGCAGCCTTGTTCCAGCTGTTGTCGATGCTCATCACTTTAGACGTCAGCTGCTGCCACCACTCAGGGCCTGACACATGGCAAGAAGTGAGGAAGTGTTGAGCAAGGGTGTGGGGCACAGACTTAAGGCAATAGAACATGTGGCAAGGAACGCGGGTGCTGGTCATTGAAACACAAGGGAGATGAGGCAAATAACACAAAAAGTGCGGTGCACTTTCTTGTGCACACATGTCCGTGCATTGAGCATGTGTTTATATTCCGTGGGGCGTCCAGGCATGCATGAGGTGGGAGGAGGAAGACGCAGTGAAGCCAAACACAGAATTTGGAAGGAAAGGGGAGAGGAGAAAAGGCCTATGATTTGGCTCAGAATGGGAGAAGGGGAGAAGAGATGCAAGTACTTACGGTCTTTGTAGTACTTGACAGCGCGAGAGAGGGCTGAATCAAGTGCGTCCTCGCCGATTCCATCAAACACAAACCTGCAGGCAAGGGAGAGGAGGCAAGAGAGGAGAGAGGAGCGAGGGGCAAGGGAGGAGTGAGGAGCGAGGGGCAAGAGAGGAGTGAGGGGTTAAGGAATTGAACTGAATCAAGTGCATCCTCGCCGATTCCATCAAACACAAATCTGCAGGCAAGGGAGGGGAGGCAAGAGAGGAGTGAACAACAGAGAAAGATGGAAAAGGTTGACCCCCCATCGCCCCCCTCTCCAAAACCCTCTTCACTTATGTTTGAGGCGCCTAAGAAATCCTTTCCCACACCCGTTTCTCTTGATTCGCTTCGCAGCATGCTACACATTGTCGCATGATAAGGCAAAAACACACGCATGCACACACGCACGCGTGCACGCACGCACGCACACACAAACCACCAAACTGTGGCATGCATTGTTCAACGAACATATCAATGACAAAAAATATAAACAAAACACCCTGCTGTTCTCACCGATGTGTTCAATGTCACTCACCCGTTGGCCTTGTCTTTGTTCCCCTCATCGTCCACATCAAAGACTGTGTCGGCCAGTCCCCCTGTCCGTCTCACCACTGGCACCTGATGACGTGAAGTGACAAGAGAAGCACAAGTCAAGATCACCTAAGTATATCTAATATGCCACAGCAGGAACAAGTTTGAGATGTCTCAATACTGTACCACAGCCGGAACAAGTTTGAGACGTCTCAAATCAAGACTGTGCCACAGCCGGAACATGCCGAATTGCCAATAACTGGAGTGAGATAAACCGGTCCAAACACAGATGGCAGATGAACCACCTGCTTACACCTCTCACCAACAGTCCTCACGAGTTCCCAAACACCTCTCTCCCTTGCCTCTCTCATATTCCCCACTCACTGTGCCGTAGCCCATGCCGATCATCTGGGTGAGGCCGCCCACATGGCTCGAACATGGAGGGCACGAGCATCAACTTCTTACGCCTCTCATCAACAACACTGAATTTTCTATCCCCTCTCTGCCTCCACTCCCACCTCCCACTCACGGTGCCGTAGCGCATGCCGATCATCTGGGTGAGCCCGCACGGCTCGAACATGGAGGGCACGAGCACCATGTCCGCCGCCGCAAACAGCTGGTGAGCCAGGCTCTCACATGGAGGGCACCACCTTCTTACACCTCTCATCAACAGTCCTCAAGTCTTCCCCAAAACCCCCTTTCCTTCCCTCCCCTCCCTCCCTTCCCTCCGCACTCACGGTGCCGTAGCGCATGCCAATCATCTGGGTGAGCCCGCACGGCTCGAACATGGAGGGCACGAGCACCATGTCCGCCGCCGCAAACAGCTGGTGAGCCAGGCTCTCACATGGAGGGCACCACCTTCTTACACCTCTCATCAACAGTCCTCAAGTCTTCCCCAAAACCCCCTTTCCTTCCCTCCCCTCCCTCCCTTCCCTCCGCACTCACGGTGCCGTAGCGCATGCCAATCATCTGGGTGAGCCCGCACGGCTCGAACATGGAGGGCACGAGCACCATGTCCGCCGCCGCAAACAGCTGGTGAGCCAGGCTCTCACATGGAGGGCACCACCTTCTTACACCTCTCATCAACAGTCCTCAAGTCTTCCCCAAAACCCCCTTTCCTTCCCTCCCCTCCCTCCCTTCCCTCCGCACTCACGGTGCCGTAGCGCATGCCAATCATCTGGGTGAGCCCGCACGGCTCGAACATGGAGGGCACGAGCACCATGTCCGCCGCCGCAAACAGCTGGTGAGCCAGGCTCTCACATGGAGGGCACCACCTTCTTACACCTCTCATCAACAGTCCTCAAGTCTTCCCCAAAACCCCCTTTCCTTCCCTCCCCTCCCTCCCTTCCCTCCGCACTCACGGTGCCGTAGCGCATGCCAATCATCTGGGTGAGCCCGCACGGCTCGAACATGGAGGGCACGAGCACCATGTCCGCCGCCGCAAACAGCTGGTGAGCCAGGCTCTCACATGGAGGGCACCACCTTCTTACACCTCTCATCAACAGTCCTCAAGTCTTCCCCAAAACCCCCTTTCCTTCCCTCCCCTCCCTCCCTTCCCTCCGCACTCACGGTGCCGTAGCGCATGCCAATCATCTGGGTGAGCCCGCACGGCTCGAACATGGAGGGCACGAGCACCATGTCCGCCGCCGCAAACAGCTGGTGAGCCAGGCTCTCACATGGAGGGCACCACCTTCTTACACCTCTCATCAACAGTCCTCAAGTCTTCCCCAAAACCCCCTTTCCTTCCCTCCCCTCCCTCCCTTCCCTCCGCACTCACGGTGCCGTAGCGCATGCCAATCATCTGGGTGAGCCCGCACGGCTCGAACATGGAGGGCACGAGCACCATGTCCGCCGCCGCAAACAGCTGGTGAGCCAGGCTCTCACATGGAGGGCACCACCTTCTTACACCTCTCATCAACAGTCCTCAAGTCTTCCCCAAAACCCCCTTTCCTTCCCTCCCCTCCCTCCCTTCCCTCCGCACTCACGGTGCCGTAGCGCATGCCAATCATCTGGGTGAGCCCGCACGGCTCGAACATGGAGGGCACGAGCACCATGTCCGCCGCCGCAAACAGCTGGTGAGCCAGGCTCTCACATGGAGGGCACCACCTTCTTACACCTCTCATCAACAGTCCTCAAGTCTTCCCCAAAACCCCCTTTCCTTCCCTCCCCTCCCTCCCTTCCCTCCGCACTCACGGTGCCGTAGCGCATGCCAATCATCTGGGTGAGCCCGCACGGCTCGAACATGGAGGGCACGAGCACCATGTCCGCCGCCGCAAACAGCTGGTGAGCCAGGCTCTCACTGTCACCCACACTAAACGCACAAGGTTAGCTGCTTGTAACGAGGATGAACTCATGGGGTGTGAAATTTTAGCACTATACGACATAAAAAAATTGCCGGAAAGATACAAGCAGTTGGGCACATGAACCTTCAACAGTGGTGGGAGGTGGGGCATGAGTAGCATGACGAGGCATATGATATGGCAGTCTCGTTCTTTAGATCTCTCAAGGTGACTTCTGGGGCATGAGCACCACGACGAGACTAGGCATATGATATGGCAATCTCAGCACCATGACGAGACGAGACATGTGACGACGATGTGGCGAGTTACCTGTACGTGAGGACAAGACGAACACTGCCACCGTCTTGGAACTGCAAGGGGGATGAAAGAAACGACGATGCAGGAAGATGGGGACGCAGAGAGCAGATGAGATAGTAGGGTGTGTGCAGGCAACACAGAAGCTGCAGAGCTTAGCATGAAGAGCATTCATTCACTCTATTTCACTGGTAGTGGGCAAACAGTTTTTGACCTCCCATACATGATTTGACCTCACCTCTTAGGTTTAAGGTCAAAGTTTCCCTGCACTCGGCCACAGTCTTTGAGGCGCCTAAAAAATCACCCGAACCCACCCACCCAACCACTCACCTCCTCTGCGATCTTGACAAAGTCTCCCTGCACTCGGCCATCAGGAGACGAGCCAAGCAGAATGAATTGACCACCCTGTGGAGTGGGAGGGGATAGAACGTGCAGAAGGGGGTGATTGGTTAGTGGATGTGGAGTGGAAGGGAATAGAAAGTGCCGGAGGGGGTAATTGGTGAATTCTGAGACTTCTCAAAGCAGAATAAATCGGGCACCTTGTTGAGTGGGCGCGCACTGTGAAATGAAAGTGGGGGATGGGATGGAGATTGAGTCAATAGGCAGGTGTGTGCGAGATAGAGGAAAGGGTGTGCAAGACTGAGGGAAACATTGAAAATAAGGAACAAGGAAGGATGGATCACTCACAGAGGAGAATGATATTTGCGGACAGACATCTGACTACAGGTTGGTTGGTGGCAATGGTCCAAGACTCACATATTCGAGGGTCTGGTAGATGTTACGTCGCTAACAGCGCTAACGGAAACAAAAGAAAGAAAAGAGAACTCACGTATTTGTGTGTCTGGTAGATGGCGTGGCGAATCAGGTGAATGCCTTTCTGGGCCACCAGACGAGTCACGCACACCACCAATGGAGACCGCTCCCCTGTGACCAGCTGAGTCAGCGCTGAGTCAGCCACGGGCCCTGCTGACGCATCTGCTGCGAGCTTGTCTGCTGCCTCAGGTGTTATTTCAGGTGTTAGGCCCAGACCCCTCTGCACGTAGTGCTTGCAGAGCATCTTGCCTGCCAGGCTGGTGGCTGGAGGAAGGGAGATGGAGAAAAGAGTGGAGGAAAAGGGATGTGGGGGAAGAGTGGGGAAAGAGGGGGTTAAGCTGGCTAAGTGGCTCAGGCCCTGCTGCACATAGTGCTTGCACAGCATCTTGCCTGCCAGGCTGGTGGCTGGAGGGAGAAGGGTGGCGAGGGTTGGGGGGTAAGAGGAATGAAAAAGGGAGTACTTTTTGGGAGATCTTTGAGTTGGCTCAACGAGGAAAAGGGGAAGGGAAGGAGGGAAGAAGAGAAATGGGAAGATTCTTAGTTGGCTCAGAAAGAGTCCCAGGCCCTGCCGCTGCATATAGTGTTAGCTGAAATGAGAAGAAGAATGAGAAAGGAAGAAAAGGGAGAAACAAGAATGAGAAACGGCGGCGAGAGATAGTCAGGAAAGAAGAGATGTGGGAGGGGCCAAGGGGTATGGCTCGGTTCCTAAATGAGCCACGGGGCGAGGGATACATGAGATTGATCAGACAAAACATTGGTCTGGTTTGACTCTCAATTACAGAGCAAGATAAGAGGCGTACGTGAGAAATGAGCAGGCAAATGGGGGTCGATTTGTGGGTCCCACATCTCCGTGTCGATCCCGTTCAGCACACCGAAGTACCTGCCAGCCAAATTAAATCATTCCACCATACAGTGGAAGGGAGTCTTACATAAACATAAATCTAAACGAGTAACATATCCGCACACATACATATGCATAACCCTTCTCTTGAGAAAAACGAACCAATAACGAATAAGGGCTACTGATTTGAATCTCACTTGGAGCGGTATTTGAGGAGCGTGTTGGAGAGCCATCCATTACAGAGAGTCTCGCTGGCATAGGTTGGGCTCACAGTTCTGCATGCATGCATGCCATGCAAGCCATGCAAGTCATGCAAGCCATGGATTATGGAGTGCAATCATGTGTGGTTAAATGTGGTTGCATGCATGCGGTTCAGTGCATGGGATGGGACGCTTCATTGTAGGCATGCACAGAAGGGGTACAGATGCTAATTTTAACTCAGATTACAAAGAATCTCCTTACATACAGCATATAATTAAGTGCATGGCCGTCATGCAATAGTGACAACTCATAGAAACGGCATCAACTCACGTTACGATGTTAGAGTACACAATCCCTCCCTTCAGCATGGACAGCCTCTCAGGGTTGTGGCCCACTGTGCGGTCATCCATGGCCTGGTGGACCGTAAGGGTGGTGATGGTGAGGGGCAGAGTGAGAGGGGTGGGGTGGCAGAGGATATGACAGGAGAGGGAAAACAGGGTTGTGGCCCACTGTGCGGTGGAGCGGAGGAGCGGAAGAGGAGGGGGGAAAGCGGTCATCCATGGCCTGGTGGGCGGGGGCAGCGGGGGAAGTGGGAAAAGGAGATGAGATAGAGTCGAAAGAAAAAGAGGCACGAGATACGAGACAGCATGGATACGAGAAGCAGCATGGATAGCCTCTCGGGTTGTGCCCCACTGTGCGGTCATCCATGGCTTGGGACAGGAGCGCAGAAGAGGGGAACAGTCGCATGTAAACCACAACCCGATCCTGCAGCAGATCAGGAACAAGAAATTAGCACTCCATATATAATTTTAAATGAAATATTATTGTTATTAATAAGTAATAATAAGCTTTAAAAAAAAAGAGTGGTACGGTGGAAGGAGGAAGAATGGCCTTCTCTGTGCGACTCTCTCCGCTGTGCAGATGGGAATCTATGAAACCCTTCCTTCTCTGAAGGCTTGAGGGCGATCTTTCATTCACATCATGACCAGGGAGAAACTTCAGAGGCATTATCCCAAAAGTGGATCGCATGTAGCCAAACTGATCCTGCCTGCATGCAAACATTCCTTTCAAGATATTCCTGCATCCACTACTGTCTGCATTCCCCGCGTTGGCACGGTGCTGCATCGCGTACGCACCTTCTCGGTGTCGAGATATGACTGGCCGTCCAGACCACACATGTCCAGCTGCTCCCATCTGAAGCAGGCAAGGTCGGGGGGGAGGGGGGGGAGGGGGGGGGGGAGGGGGGAGAGAATATACAGGGTGGGGCAACGCACACAAGGCAGCACAGCGCAAAGATGAGCAAATCCACGCCAATTTGACAAAGGAAAACGGCAGAACACTGATTTCCCTACAAGGAGTGAACGGCGAACTGAAGAATGACATTTTAGTGGAGCAAAAGAGAGGAATGACATCATCTGTATATATTCCAGGCACAGAAGTAGTGTGACTGCCGAGCCACAACCCGTCACTCCACTGTCATATTCATGCTCCTCACCTGCACTCTCCGTGGTGCTCCATGTTGTGAATGGTGAGGATCAGGCGTGGCTTCTGCAATCGGGGAGAAAGGGGGAACGGAGGGACAAAGGGAAGAGGATGAGAAACAAAAGGATTTAGAATTTAGGCTCCCCGTGGTGCTCCATGTTGTGAATGGTGAGGATAAGGCGTGGCTTCTGAAAGTCAGGAAAGGGTTGAGTTGGAAGGGAAGAGGACGCAGTAGGTATGAGAGTGAACATACATTTCTTCTGCCGTGTCTTGAGTCGGCCCAACATACCCATGGCTAGGATGAGAAAATTCCAGTGTAAAGAACTTTTTCTCTAAAGCCGGATTTGAGTCAACCTTACACATACAGATCCATGGGGAATTGTGCGAAAGAGATGGAATGCAAAACTGCCGAATATATAGTGTATTGGGTTTTGACAGAGCACCTGACAGCTACAGCACATGCAAATTGAGCTGGTGGTACATGTCCCAGTAGAGCAGGGCCACTGGGAGAGCGCACATAGCTCACATGTCTGACGAACAACTGACACACAGCCTACAACAACAGTGCACCTGCAGGTTGAGCTGGTGGTACATGTCCCAACAGAGCAGCATCGCCGATGTAAGTTTGCACGCTTAGTATGCAGCTGTGACCAAACACACCTGAGTCACAGCAGCACTTCTAAACAGCGCACCTGTAGGTTGAGCTGGTGATACATGTCCCAGTAGAGCCGCGCCACTGGCAGGGAGGGCGCACACAGCTTATACATCTGACATCTGACACACAGCTCGCAACAACAACGCACCTGCAGGTTGAGCTGGTGGTGCATGTTCCAGTAGAGCAGCGCCACTGCTGCTGTGACGTCTGCTGCACGCGTATGCAGGTGCGACTGCACATCTGACTCAAAGCTGCACTTCGTGAGGTGCTTCAGCAAATGAAATGACGCACCTGCAGGTTGAGCTGGTGGTACATGTCCCAGTAGAGCAGCGCCACTGCTGCTGTGTGCCACTCGTGGATGTGTATAATGTCCGGCTGCGCCCCTGTCACCTGATGGTGTGGTGTGGGACACATATGGGCATGCAGAGCAGGGCAAGTGAGACGATGATGCTGCTGTGTGCCACTCGTGGATGTGTATAATGTCCGACTGCGCTCCCATCACCTGATGGTGTGGGATGACGGACACACATACACACGTAAAACAACAACACAGAGTGGCATGTTACAGTGCAGGGCGAGTGAGAGAGGGAACGCAGAGAAGGAAGAACCTCCGCTGCGCTATGGTGTGCCACGCGCGGTGGATGTGCAGTATGTCTGCCCCCCCCCAACTCCATGCCTCAACGTGTGCATCTCACCAAACGCCTGCACTATCGCCTCACCTGCAGGAACTCGAGGCTGGCGAGGCTGAAGAAGAGGTAGGCCTCGAGCTCGTTGTAGGAGGCACCAACTGTACCTCGGCCTGCGGTGCAGGACAAGACAGAACCCGCATATGCCCTCCAGAGACCTCACCTGGAGAAACTCGAGGCTGGCACGGGAGAAGAAGAGGTATGCTTCGAGCTCGTTGTAGGAGCCGCCGTAGATGCGCCCTCCCCTGAAGAAGTGGTTCTCTGGCTTCAGCAGCACCACTGGCACGCCTGAGATCTCCCCACTGAACGCCTGCAATAATGGGAGAGTGTATGTGTGCATGAATGTGAAACAGAGTGAGCGACAGAGATGCGCCCTTCCCTGAAGAAGTGGTTCTCTGGCTTCAGCAGCACCACTGGCACGCCTGAGATCTCCCCACTCAACGCCTGCCACGGTGAGAGGATGGGTGCATCATGTATGCATAGTTGCGTGAAGGTGTACTTGTGCATGCGTGTGGAAGAGGGTGATAGGGTGAAAAAGTGATTCCGGCTTCCCCACAGCACTGCTGGCACACCTGAAATTTCCCCACTGAACGCCTGCAAGGAACCATAGACGCGTGTGCATGTGTGCATGCGTGTGAAAGAGGGGGAGTGAGAGACATCGATGGGACTGCCTTCGATCAAATGGCTCTTTTTGTCTCGGGCTTCAGCAGCGGCACTAGCACCCCTGAGATCTCCCCAATGGCATGCCAGAGATCTGTTTCACACTGGCTGACGGAGCTACCACTTCTATGCCACATCTCACTCCGATTTAACACTCCTGACCCACTCCAACCAACTCACGTCCACTCAAACGCACCTCCACGCCAACCCAGTCGCCCTTGAAGTAGGAGCCCAAGGAGCGCTTGAGTTGCAGGTTGGCGATCTGCTTCTCACCTGCACTGCACCCTAAGCTGTCACCTCTCTGCCTCACATCCACTTCACTCTATCACTTCCACCAGGGTCCAACTCACCCCCACTCCAACTCACGTACCTCCACGCCGACCCAGTCGCCCTTGAAGTAGGAGCCAAAGGAGCGCTTGAGTTGCAGGTTGGCGATCTGCTTCGTGTCCAAACACTCGTAAAACGGCAGCATCACCTCCACTGTGTGCCCCCGTGCCAGACAGGCTCGGCCCAAACCTGCAGAGAAGCACGAATGGATGGGCAATGGATTAGTGCAACGGCAGCATCACACTCAGTGTTGAACTTTGCTCAAACTTGCAAACAAATCGCTGACCTATTAGAACGACTTATACATCCTGTGACTGTAACGCACTACTGACCTGTTACCACATCCCCAAGACCCCCAATTTTTGTCAGCGAAGCCATTTCAGCAGTCACGACACCGTCCCCTGTTGACCCGCTGCTCGCCACCCCTGCTACCCACCTGCGACCACGACTTTCTCACCCTGTAACGAGCTACTGACCTGATACCACGTCTTTTACTACATCCTGTAACCGTGAAGTGTGGCTCACCTGTTACCACATCCCCGAGACCCCCAACTTTCGCCAGGGGAGCCATTTCCGCAGTGACATGCACGATGTGAATGCGCTCTGCGTCCCTCTCTCCCACCACTCCGTCCCCTGCTGACCCGCTGCTCGCCACCCCTGCTGCTGCCACGTATCCTTCACTGGTTGGCCAGCGCATCCAGAACGGCGGCTCCTCCTGGGGGGACGGCCAGATAATCTGCTGGGCTGCGGTGGCCGGCACAGCTTGTCTTTTCTGAGCCGTTCCAACAGCCTCTTCTATAACTTCAACAGATGCTGAGGCTGCTGCTGCTGCTGCTGCTGCCCTTGCCTGAAATATCGGGGAGCGTGTATAGGATACAGGAGAAAAAAGGGCTTTAAAGCAATTCAAAGTTCAAGACAAGATGTGCTTTGCCATCTCCGACGTCATGTGATTCTTTGGCAAATCTCAATAGATAACTTGAAACATTTTTTTTTTCTTGAAAGCAAGTTTTCTGCTTCGACACAAGGGTATTGTTGTAGCACGCACATACATCACAATCAGCACCAAGCTTTATTCCTGGCAACTTCTACATCACTCACCACATCAGCGGCAACAGCAGGCGACCCAGGCGCGCCGCCTCCCTGCATGGCGAGCGAGAGCGCCCCCTCGAGCTCCGCCAGGCGCGCTTTCAGCCGCGCGTTCTCTGCCACCATCGCTTCCAACCGCTCCTGCGATCATGTGACCAGGCGCACGATATAGAGTACAAAGAAGGACGATTTCGTGAAGATTGAGGGAAAAGCAGATGCGGTAAGGCTGCAGACGCTCCCTTCAAGAATTCCTCCCCCCACCTTCCCTCCCCCCTTTCTCCCGCTCCCCCTCCCTCCTCCCTCTCCTTGCCCTCTTCTTGGAAGGATATTAGGGCTTGGAAGGTTGGCCTTTACACATGCAAGGAACCACGTGATTGGAATAGAAGTTTATGACAAAGCGTGAGAGCACATGAAACTCCTAGTAGAACCAGACAGTTGCTTGAAAAGACCGACAGTTATGTTCTTGATTTTCGTGAAGATTAGAGAGCTAGCCGTCACTACCTGACATGCATCGCCATTTCCTGATTGACATCGAGGTGCTAGGATAACGACATGTTATTTGTCAGCACAAGACCGTGTTAGAGGGCCCTACGACAGCAAGGGCCCTCGACGATGTGTGTTGACTTGGCAGGTCGATGAACGACCAAGACTATACGCGGCCCTGCACCGACCCTATGACGTCGTGTGACTATGATGGCGCTAATGAAGTCACTGCTGGGGTGGTGCTAGCTTAGGGAGTCGTGGGCGTGCTTCTTGGGTGGTCTTGGTAGTTGTGGGTGATTCCCTGTGAGTCTCGCCATTTCTAGGTGTGTTGGGAGAATTGGCGAGCCCGGCATTGACTTCCCTGCTGAGTCAGGTTGGGATTGGCCGAGGCGCGGTTCACCCATCCACACGACAGTTTCGTGGGGTTGGGTTACTCCGCAGCGCCACGCCAACTTTGTGCAACTTCCCCGTAGCCTATATCTATCTTGTGTGTTTGCTTTTGTATTCATAGTAATATTACAATCTCTACTCAACTTCTCACTTAGCCATTTGAGACAAGCTCTACCGAAACGCTACCGAATTCCTAGCGCAACATCATTCCCATAAGCAGAATCTCTCTCGCCGTCGTAGTGCTCTCCATAATATTCCTTCATGGTGCGGTGAGCGTGGAACGAACACGCATAGAATTCCGTCGTCGATTTTCTTAGCGTTCGTAAACTCGCCTTGGCGTGCGGCGTTAGTGAAGGGCGCATATTAAATTAAGTTGAACCTCTCTTAATTTCCCTCCAGTTACGTTCTCGGACCCAAGGATAGGGCGTTTGGTAATTTATTACCACTCGTCTGAGGACCCTTGTGAGGTGACCCCGAGACGAGGGATTTAAGGAAGGAACAATTTATTTTAATTTGTGGCACCTTATCGAGGCGTCGTAGAGGATGAGTTCGGAGGAGGCGGACGTTGAGGCCGTTGATTTTCGCGCACTAGAGGAGGAGCTCGTGGCACGTCGTTCCCGTGGCGAGCTTAGTAATGTAGATTACGAGCTCATGTTGGAGGGATTACGCTCTCGTCAGCGTCGCGATCATCCCTCGCCACATGTAGAGCAAGCTGCGGGAGGCACTAGTGCGTGGGACATGGCTGTCAATGACGGAGGTGACGATGACGAGGAGGTTGATGGGTTGATGTCGCGTGGGGTCCTGCGAGGACCAACTCGGTTTAGTACGACTAGCGTCGGCGGTGTACAGGAGCGTGTTCATCGTGCGGCGGCGTCACACGAGCGTACGAACTTAGGACGACAGAGCGCTGCTGGAGGAGGGAATGCGGAGGAGTACGATAGTGGAGCTATGCCGGGCATTACCCCGATTGGATCGATGTCGAGGGATGAGGGAATAGCCCCCAACTATGGCTACTTCAAATTCACTCCAGACAGAATCGTCGTGCCTAAGCCGCTCGAAGGACGCCACGACCTATCGACGTGGGTAGAATCGATCGAGCCGCAGCTTGAGATCGCTCAGCTAAAGCGATTCATTGACGGTACCACTCCTATTCCACCAACGCAGGCAGTTGCGCATCTCACTCAGTTCCGCGCAATGCAGTTACTGACGTTCACCACGATTTCCCGATGCTGCTCCCCAACCGTACAGATTGCCCTTAAGGGGTGTCGCATGAAGGTAGATGCCGGCTATCAGGCATGGCAGTTTATTATGCGCACGTACATGGCGAAGGACGATCTGTACATCGGTCAGTTAGAGCAGGCGCTCACTAACCTCGAGATGGGAGAGCACGAGTCCGCTACGTCCTATTGCAACCGTGCGCAGCAGATCCTAGTGAACCTGAGGATGGCCGGCGTAGATTACTCGCAGGCGTCGTACATTACTCACGTCGTGAAGGGGTTGCCGCAGCAGTACAACCTCTTACGCAGGATGCTGAAGCTGCCGCAGGTACGCAAGGAGTTGGACGAGGACACCCTCGCTAGCTACATTATCGAGGAGGAGTGTACGCTGGCAGCGGAGGGACGGAAGGACCAATTTCTTCCCCAGGCCAACCAGGTCTTTACCAAGAAGGGTAAGCCCCAATCCCAGCAGACTTCATCCCCTTCCCCTCCCACTACGGCACAGCAGCAGCAGCCTAAGACTGGGGGTGGGGTTGGAGGTGGAGGAGAGAAGTGGAAAGGGGCTAAGGATGGTCAGCCAAAGGGGGGGAAAGGTGGCTTCAAGGGGAAGTGCTACGTGTGTGGACAGACAGGGCATGTTGCTAAGTACTGTCAGCAGCGGGCGGATAAGGAGGCAGACACGGGTGGAGAGGGTTCTGGAGGCAGCGGCGCGAGTGGCAAGGGGGGCGATGGCTCTAAGGGGAGCGGGCAGTCATCATGTGCGATGGTGAAGCCCGTTGTAGAGCAGACTCCTCTTGTCGTGCTGGAGCCTGAGGCCGGGGAGGGCTTACAGGCTCTTGCAGCTGCTGTGAAGGCGAACCCGAGCGTCGTGCTACTTGATAGCGGATGCTCCCACCATCTCATGGGAGATCGTTCTGCCTTTGTGGAGATGAGCAGCGGCGGTAGTATCAAACAAGTGAAAGGCTTCAACGGCGCGCTTCAGGACGTGCAGGGGCGAGGCACAGTCGCTCTTCTTGGAGAAGGGGGCAGGCGTGTCTTGGTGTCAGACGTGCTGTACGTGCCTGGAGTGCAGGCGAGTCTTCTTTCTGCTGGGCAGCTGCGTGATAGTGGCGTGCAGCTGCTGGATGCGGGCGACATGACTCTGCTGCGGGCACCAGATGGGTCGCTTCTTGGGCGTGCAGAGTTCAAGGGGCGTGTTCTCTGCACGAACTTCCAACCGTGTTTGTCGCAGCAGCAGGAAGGCGAAACGGTGGCACTTCGTACCTTGACGACGGGCGTGCGGTCTAAGGTGGACATGTGGCATGCGCGTATGGCACACGTTGGTATTGATGCCATCGAGCGCACTGCGTCTCACGGGTCAGTGAAGGGCTTGGACCTGGAGAAGGGGGGCAAGTCAGGCATACCGTGTGTCTCCTGTGTTGGGGGGAAGATCACTCGTCATACCTTCCCGTCAGTGGGTGCGGAGGAGGATGAGTTGCTTAAAGTGGTGCATGCTGACCTGTGTGGCCCTTTCCGTGAAACTGCTATGGACGGCGACCGCTACTTCCTGGTGCTGAAGGATCGCAAGTCGCGGTACGTCTGGGCCTACCCCTTGGCTCAGAAGAGTGATGCGCTGGCGGCGTTCCAGAAGTGGCTCCCGATGGCAGAGCGGCAGTGCAAAACCACGGTGCAGGCGCTGCGCACTGATCGGGGTGGCGAGTTCTTGGGGCATGACTTCACGCTCTTCCTCGACGGCAAAGGCATCATCCATGACCTCACGTGCCCGTACACGCCGGAGCAGAACGGGATGGCCGAGAGGGAGATGCGCAGCATTGTGGAGGCGGTGCGGACGATGCTACTGCACATGGGTGTACAGCATCATTGGTGGCACCTGGCGTTGGCGCAGGCCGTCTGGGTGCGCAACCGCGTGGAGCACGCCTCGCTGCCCTCTGGTGTGACGCCGTACGAGCTCGCCTTTCGACACAAACCCGATGTCAGTATGGTGCGGGTATGGGGCTGCATGGTGCAGTACATGGTGCCTCAGTCGCAGCGTGGGGGGAAGCTGGCACCAAAGGCTCGCTGGGGGTTGCACTTGGGGGTGTCCGCAGCGAGCAAGGGCTGGACTGTGCTGGACTTGGAGTCCAACCGCCTCATCACCACTGTGGAAGCTGTTTTCTATGAGACCATGTCCCTGGCAGGATGGAAGGCTTGGCACCAGCAGGAGCATGCGGGGCGTCCGATGCCCTATGAGCCCCTTCCCTCCCTCTTCCCGATCACTCTTGAGGAGGCGGTGGAGGAGGAGGAGGTGGTCGCACCTCCTGCTATGCCCTATGTCCCTACCTCGGTCCCCACCCCACCTCCGCCTTCAGTTTACCCTCGTGTGGTTCCCCCTGCCCCACCTTCTTCATCCTCACCCCCCTTGGCTTCCCCTCCTCCTCCTGTTATTCCCTCTCCCCTTCCACCCTCCATCCCTCCTGCACCTGCTCCACCCTCCTCTTCATCTTCCACGGCGCCGCCCGTTGGTGAGGGGGGGATCGTGGTGCCACCGTCTGTGGAGATCACCGACGGGCAGCGCCTTGAGACTGAGCAGCTGCAAGACAAGAGCAGTATGGATGGAGTGCAGCAGAGTGGGGGGCAGGAGATAGGGGAGCAGCAGTTAGGGGAGCAGCAGAGTGGGGAGCAGCAGATAGGGGAGGAGCAGATTGAGGAGCAGCAGATGGTGGATCAGCAGCTAGAGGAGCAGCAGACAGGGGAGCCGCAGACAGGGGAGCCGCAGACAGGGGAGCAGGAGCTGTGGGGAATCAGAGATGGTGGTCGTGTGTTGGCTTCTGGGACGATCACTGCACCGCTGCGTCGCTCCACTCGCATCACTCGTGGTATCCCGCCTCTTAAGTATGCTTGGGCTTTGGTGATTGAGCCAGCGGGATTGGATGACGAGGAGGAGGACGAGGAGTGGACGGACCTGGATCCTGATGTGGTGGCCGACCCTGAGAGGCAGTGGGATATAGCGAAGATGACAGTGAAGGAGGCCTTGGGCTGCTGGAAGGGCGACAAGGTGAAGGAGGCGATGGATGAGGAGATGCGGAGCTTGATTGAGCAGGGGACGTGGGAGTTGGTTCCGCGTCCGCCAGGGGTGAATGTGATGAAGAACCGCTGGATCCTGAACACCAAGTTCCGACCTGATGGGGTAGTAGAGCGTGAGAAGGCGCGGCTGGTGGTGAAGGGGTTCACGCAGGTGGCAGGGGTGGACTATGAGGAGACGTACGCCCCTGTGGGAAGCTATGTGACGGCGCGTGTGCTTCTAGGGATTGCAGCTGCACTCGATTTGGAGCTGATGCAGCTGGATGTGAAGAACGCGTTCCTCCATGGCGTGCTGGACCGTGACCTTTACATGGAGCAGCCGAGCTACTACGAGGATGGGACCCCTCGTGTCTGTAAGTTGCTGAAGAGTTTGTATGGGCTCAAGCAGAGCCCGATGCTGTGGTATGAGGCCTTGGATGGGGTGCTGCTTGGGGCTGGATGGAAGAAGAGCCAGGTGGATGAGGCTCTGTACTTCAAGAGTGATGCTGAGGGGGAGATGTGCTGGCTGCTGGTGTATGTGGATGACTTGCTTGCTGCCAACCGCAGTCAGAACATGCTGGGGAGCTGCGGGAGCTACTGCAGAGTGCGTTTCAGCTGCGGGAGATTAGCCCTGTGGAGAAGTACTTGGGGTTGCAGCTGATTCGGGACAGGCCTACGAGGAGGCTGTGGCTGCACCAGGGGGCCTATGTGGACAAGGTCCATAGGCGCTTCTTCGACGGGGAGCAGCCGCTGCGAGTGCCTCGCACCCCCCTTTCCTCTGACCCTTTCAGTGTGCAGACCTTCGGGGACGTGGGATGGCAGTCTCGTCAGGAGGAGGAGTACAGGCAGAAGGTGGGATCCTTACAGTTCGCGGCCTGTACCACCCGTCCCGACATTTCCTTCGCCTGCAGCAAGCTGGGGTCGGGCCAGACAGTGCGGAGTGACCAGCACTGGAAGGAGTTGGACCGGTGCTTGGCGTACCTGGTGGGGAGCAGGGATGTGGCGCTGGAGTTTGGTGGCGGGCCGGAGTCCTTGGAGCTGGTGGGCTACGCCGATGCTGATGATGCAGGAGACAAGCAGAACAGGACCAGCACTGGTGGCTACATCTTCGTGCTCGGGGGTGCTGCTGTCTCTTGGGCGAGCCAGAGGATTCGTTGCGCCACGCTCTCCTCCACTGAGTCTGAGTACGTTGCTGCTGTGGAGGCTGGGAAGGAGGCGCGCAGGCTGCGCTTCCTGCTGGCAGAATTTCAACTGCTGAAAAGTGAGGAGCCCACAACCCTCTTTGTGGACAACTCCTCCGCCATTTCAGTGGCAGGTGGCATGGGGCTCAAGGGGAGCCTCAAGCACATGGAGCGTCGTCATATGTGGCTGCAGCACATGGTCAAGCGCAGGAAGCTGCAGTTGCAGTACATCCCTACGAGCGAGCAGCCAGCTGACTACCTCACGAAGGCATTGCATTTCCCCGCCTTCAGTCGTTGCTTCGAGGCTGTGGGGCAGGTGAGGCTCTCGAGCGAGGGGAGTGAGACCTAGACACTCCTTGATGTGGTTGGTGCCATGGCCTATCCATGGCTGGTGCGGTGCGTGTTTGCACTTTGAGAGTGCTTCGTTTGTGTGTGTCTCCCTTTATTTTGGTGTGTATGTGTGTATGCATGCCCTGTGATTATAAAGGGCCTTGCTGTAGTATGGCAGGGGAGTGTTAGAGGGCCCTACGACAGCAAGGGCCCTCGACGATGTGTGTTGACTTGGCAGGTCGATGAACGACCAAGACTATACGCGGCCCTGCACCGACCCTATGACGTCGTGTGACTATGATGGCGCTAATGAAGTCACTGCTGGGGTGGTGCTAGCTTAGGGAGTCGTGGGCGTGCTTCTTGGGTGGTCTTGGTAGTTGTGGGTGATTCCCTGTGAGTCTCGCCATTTCTAGGTGTGTTGGGAGAATTGGCGAGCCCGGCATTGACTTCCCTGCTGAGTCAGGTTGGGATTGGCCGAGGCGCGGTTCACCCATCCACACGACAGTTTCGTGGGGTTGGGTTACTCCGCAGCGCCACGCCAACTTTGTGCAACTTCCCCGTAGCCTATATCTATCTTGTGTGTTTGCTTTGGTATTGATAGTAATATTACAATCTCTACTCAACTTCTCACTTAGCCATTTGAGACAAGCTCTACCGAAACGCTACCGAATTCCTAGCGCAACATCATTCCCATAAGCAGAATCTCTCTCGCCGTCGTAGTGCTCTCCATAATATTCCTTCAGACCGTAGGTACCCAGGTTAGCGTCGTACCTTCTCAGAGTCGCTTAAATTGCTTGCGGTCGCAGCAACCTGCAGCGAAGCAACGGGAACACTGTTTTAGATTCGAAAGCTTGACAAAATCCGTCAGATTTGCGCGACGTAAATCAGCGTCCAACCGACTTTAATGCTCGATCAAATCAGTCAACTTCCGAAAGAGAATGATGGTACAAGCCAACTGGGTGGTGGATGGACTAAGGAGCGGACTACGAGGTACATGCCTGAAGGGCTCCATGAATATGGGAAGCTGCTTTACGCGAAGCCTTTCGAGACTGCTGGCGAAGCGAATTTCCATAGAATCCCACCTGCATTTACATTATCAAGATAGCTTGGTAACCTCATTTCATACGACATTATAGATGGGGTCCAGGTTTGCTTGAAAAGCTAAGCATTTAAAGTGATTGAAGAAAAAAAACGTAGGGATGATTTTTCTTCAACGGAAAATCTGTACCTGAGTGGACTTTAGCTGAGTGAAAGAGGAGGCAACAGAGAGCTTCTCCTCCTTGAGGCAAACTGAGGAGACTGTTGGCAACAGGCCTGCAGAGGCGGATGTCATTGTCGTGGCCGCCATGCTAGGTTACCGCACGTCAGTGCTAGGTTACCGCTCCTCACGCTTTCTCCAGGACGAAACGCGCCCTGACAGCAACGCTAGAGCTCAGCCAAGAGTGCAATGGAGGTCCTAGGTGACAGGGAAGGCTGTTCGCCCAGAGACACTTGTGTATTGAGAAATTATTCCAGCCACATTTGCTTTCTCGATATCCTTGAATCCCACGAATGTGCTTCCCTGCGCATGCGAAAGATTTTCTGCGGACGAAGCCCTGGTCCGGCGGGTAACCACTTTCGAGGGTCGAAAGCCAACAGCTGCGGGGGTGAAGGCGGGTGGTCAGGAGTGCGTGTCACAATCAGCAGAACCAAGGAGGAAGGATAGCCCTATGATTCTCGCCACTTGGCAATTGGTCACATACAGAAGATGAAGGCGTGGCGGAGAATATCCAGCTCAACAGATCCCGGTCCACGCGCCAAACAAGTGGGAGCCCACTCCCAGATGTGTGAAGCCACAAACCAAGCTATACAGCTCATACAAACAAGTGGAATTATCAACCTCATTATGTACTCTATTTGAGAGGAACTAGTATAAAGCGTGGTCATATACCTGCTATTTGTACATTCATCAAGAGCCATGAACCAGAATTCCCTTACGTACTTCATGCAAAACACGTCAGCTTAACAGCTGAGAAGCATGTGAAGCACGAACTGTACAAATCCGTACAAATTTTACACATACCGTATCTGAAAAACTGTCAGGAAACCAGTGCCTGTGGCTCTAGCGACTGCCTGAGCCAGAAGCTCCCCCATCAGCCATGGTCCTCTTCTGAGCTCGCCTTGCCCTTCGACCCAAACCCCCCTCCTTGAGACCCTTCTGAGCCGCATTGAGCGCGCGGGCAGGGGCAGGTCGTGCCTCTATGCGGCCCCGGCGGACATAGCCATTCTCACCCCATCGCCTGTTGCCAATGCGCAGAGTGTTTTGGTAGTAGTCTTCCTCGTCTTCTTCATACTCCTCCAGTTCTGGTTGATGCTCTATCTCATTTGGGTACTCAAATTCCACAGGCGAGTACCATGGAGCACGGAGAAGCAAGCACACTGTTTCTTCAAGCATGAAATCACTCACACTGCACAACAAAGGGCAGCCAATGAGTTAGGTGGAAACAGAAATGGAATAAGGCACTACGAGCTGAATATGAAGGTGTAACGAAGGACGATAAGAATGCGTACAAATAAAAGTGAAAATCAAGGGCGAGCATACCTCCCGTCAATATTTTTGTACAAGTAGAGCGATGAAAATGGCAAGCGACACTGGGGACACCACGGATAGGTCTTGTAGGAAGCCCACTGGAGAATGCAGTTGATGCTGAAAGACAGGGAAAGAAACTGCCGTCGTGAGCATTCTGCAACTAAGAAATGGCGACCACCGCTGACAACAGCAAAAGAAAGAGGTTGGCCTACCAGTATGAGTGATCGCATCCTTTGATGAAACCAGTTTCTTGAAGAATGATACCTTCGTGGCAGATTGCACACACGTTGCTTTCGTCCTGGACGGAGAACAGGTTCATTAAGAGTCACGTTTGACGCAAGAATCCACCAATAAAAATCCTCCTCTATTTTGCACATAAGCCAGGGACATGCCATATTTTCAACAACGGTCTATCAACCTGGGAAAATGGTTGCACAATGGTTCATGGCTCTCGAACCTTGACTTTGGAACAGCCGGCAGAAGCACAGGCGTCTTCAGCTTCAACAGTAAGGGCTTCCAATTTCTGCTCGAGCCCGACAACCTCGCTCGCAATAGTTTCCACAGCTGACGTAGGGAACTCCATGAAGCTTGGGTGGGGAAATTAGGTACAACCCTTACCCCTGAACCACACCGGTTCGTCCCCCCGATTGTACCGACTCGTTCCCCCGAACGTGGGGCTTCCTCCCCTACCGCGCTGCCTACACGCCACACATGACACGCTCTGCTCCCAGAGGGTAGCAGGCGGTTGTTAGAAAGGAGCAGCGAGGCTAGTCGGAATTACCTAGGTGAAAGTTGTTGCGGGTACTAGGGTTAGGAGGAAGCGTACAGCCAGGGATTGTCCGTTGGAATAATTCCTGCACGAATATGCGAGGGAATCCAGAAACTGCATCAAAGAATGCATCGCAATAACGTACGAACACAGCATGTTGCGTGGTACCATCTGATAATGGTGAAGGTACCTGAAGTTATGAATGTATGACATTAAAATCAACTTTGAGTTTGCTACTTTCCCCAGATGACATCATAGCACAGCCTCACCAATTATGGCAATCACATTACTCAAACGATGTGAGTGGCATCAATCCAACAATTGTGTCGAAGTGTGTCAATTGCTGAAACGACAAGAATTGGTCAGCATTCTTCTAGATTGACCTAGCCAAACATGACTACTGAATCGGTTACCTACAAAACTCAATCATCCTCTTCACGGCTGAATCTGCCTAGTTCCATCAACATCCACACCGCAGACACAGCTGCACAGCGGGGTGTGGGGAGGTGTGGGGAGGGGTGGGGTGGGGGGGGGGAAGGCGCCAAACCATTAACACATCCATGACCACGGCTCAGGGAGTCAACTGCATTGGCATGCCCAATCTATGAGAAGCAAAACGCTTGGAAAAAACCTGTCTCTGGATCCAATCTGTAAAAATCTGTAAAAAGAGAGGCTTAAAGTGGAAGCTGATCCATACCAGCGAATGAAACATCACCAAACACCCCCGCACCCTCCTCCCCCTCCCCCCCGCACCCCCTCAAATAAAAGGTCCCAACTTTGACTTTTAGAGGAGTGTAGCTAGATAATTTCGATCTGCTGGCACTTACGAAGCATAAAACGACAAAGGTTGTGGCAACCATGGCCTTGTAAAGACGCATCTCACCATCGAGGCCCCTCACGAATCGTCTAAGAAGACATCGCAACGCACTAAAGAGGAAAATAAGACCTTACAAGCGAGAAAGCACGGAACAACGACGTTCTTGACGGTCATGGTCTTGTAGACGAGCAGCTCGAGCAGAAAGTGCACGAGGGTGAGGCGGACGACTGTCCAGGTGCAGAGCACAGAGGATGCAGAGCGTGCAGGTGATAGTTATCCAGACGACGGTAAAGGTGTGACCGTGCACGTCAGACAGAACAACTTACAAGCGAAGAAGCACGGCGCAGCGAAGTTCTTGACTGTCATGGTCTTGTAGACGAGCAGCTCAAGCAGGAAGTGCAGGAGGGCAAAGACGAAGGACGCCAGCGTGGCGAGGAAGAGCGGGCGGCTGTCAAGATGCAGCGCACAGAGGATGCAGAGCGTGCAGGTGACAGCTGTCCAGATGGCAAATGTGCGACCGTGCACGTCAGACACTGACGGACACAAGGGGGAGGTGGGTAGGTGAGAGAGATGGGGGATGGGTGGAAAGAGGGTGAGATTAGGGGTTGAGGTATGAAGCGGAGCGAGATCATGCACGTGACAACTGTCCACGCAGCAAAGGTGTGACGGTACAGTGCACATGAGACACTGGAGGGGGAATGGCGTGAAACAGGACAGATTGAGTGGGAGAGTGCGAGGATGCAGAGCATGCAGGTGGGAGCTGTCCACACAGCAAAGGTGCGACGGTACAGTGCACATGAGATAGACAGAGATTCTTGACTTTGATTTCACCGCAAGTCAGTAGAAAAACTCACTGGAGCGTTTGGAGGAGACGCCGACTTGCAACGCCCAGAGGTTGAAGAAACCAGGCTAGACCGAGGAGAGACGCGCAAAGGGCACCAGCCAAGGCCGCCAGCAGCATTTGAGTCACTTTTGATAACCCAGCATTCGTGGCACATCGGGTGCTCTCACTGGTGTGTTTTGAGTAGACTGCGACTTGCAATGCCCAGAGGTTGAAGCAACCAAAGTAGACTGAGGAGGGGCGAGTTCTGGTGTGGTGTGCAGTGGTAACACGGAGATTTATGGCTGACTCAAAAGTCACCTTCTCATTATAACACTCACTGGTGCGTTTGGAGTAGACAGCGACTTGCAGCGCCCAGAGGTTGAAATAGCCGAAGTAGACCGAGGAGAGACGCGCAAACGCCACCAGCAGCAGCCAGTATCCCAGTGGCTCCATGCTGCTAGTGCTGCTCGTGCTGGGACGGAAAGAGGGATGGGAGAGAATAAGGGGAATGCGGGACGATATGACGGGTAGTGAGGAAGGGAGAGACGCGCAAACGCCACCAGCAGCAGCCAGTAGCCAAGCGGCTCCATGCTGGAAAAGGGGAAGAAGGAAGGGCGGGCGGAAAAGGGGAGGATAGGAAGGGTAGGAGACGAGAGGAAGGGGAGGAGGCGAAATGAAGGGGAGGAGACGAGAGGAAGGGGAGGAGACGAGAGGAAGGGGCGGAGACGAAAGGAAGGGGAGGAGACGAGCTGAAGGGGAGGAGACGAGCTGAAGGGGAGGAGACGAGCTGAAGGGGAGGAGACGAGCTGAAGGGGAGGAGACGAGCTGAAGGGGAGGAGACGAGCTGAAGGGGAGGAGACGAGCTGAAGGGGAGGAGACGAGCTGAAGGGGAGGAGACGAGCTGAAGGGGAGGAGACGAGCTGAAGGGGAGGAGACGAGCTGAAGGGGAGGAGACGAGCTGAAGGGGAGGAGACGAGCTGAAGGGGAGGAGACGAGCTGAAGGGGAGGAGACGAGCTGAAGGGGAGGAGACGAGCTGAAGGGGAGGAGACGAGCTGAAGGGGAGGAGACGAGCTGAAGGGGAGGAAGAGGGGGAAACGCAGCGAGGACGTTGGGAACGAGGCGGAGGCGGTTCCCCCCGTAAAAGCCCCCCTGGGGGGAAGAGAGAGAACTTTGACGGGGGAGAGCGGCGATGAGCAAGAGCGGCGAAACTCTCCGAGAAGAGAGTTCCCTCATTTCCGCGCGGACAGATTTCGCTCAAGCGATTCTCGGTTGCTTCGAATGCACAGTTTGCATAATGCGAGGAGGCAGCGCCATGCCACGAGGCCGCGCGATGCGGCGAGGCAGCGTAATGCGGCGAGGCAGCGCAATGCGGCGAGGAAGCGCTATGCGACGAGGCAGCGTATTGCGACGAGGCAGCGCTATGCGACGAGGCAGCACGATGCGGCGAGGCAGCGCGACGCGGCGAGATAGCGCAATGCGACGAGGCAGCGCTCGGATAGAGCCTCACCTGTCGCTACACGGATAAGGCAGTCGGTGCGGAGCGGAACCCAAGCCGCGCTAGACTACGGGACGGCGAAGCAGTGGGTTGTGGGGATCAGCAGGGGTGACAGTTGAGTTGAGGTGAGTTGGAGAAAAAGCATGGAACATTTGCCAGACGTGCGAATAAATGTAACCACATTCGCGAGGTTCGCTGATCCTGTTCGCATGCCCGTACCTCCAATGGTGCCGTTCGCAAATGTTTCGTGGGATCACTGGTCAGCGACTCTGGTGCACAGATCTCATGGGCTTTCGTGCGCATGGTAACCATTGCCCAATTGTATGATATTCTCGCACATTCATATTCTCGCACTGTATTTATAGTGCATACATCGGAACAGTAACAGAAGCGTCGCAAACGTCGTTTGCGCTTCCCAACTTCCAGCAGCTACCCATTTCCCTCCATACGGTTCCCCATCTCCAGTGCCTGCCACGCCTGCTGTTCCAATCCAACCACCAGCTGCCAGCAGGTGAATCGGGTCGGTCATTTTCTTCCCTCCACCCCGACCTAGATTTCTCCTCATCCCATCTCAACGCGTTTCTCAAATCTGGATCTGCTAATCCCTTTCGCAAGTCTCCATTGCTGGATTGAAATCTTAGGCATTAGGTGCTTGTGACTAGGAGCCATGGGTGGCGGCTTTAGAGTTTTGCATCTCGTCCGGCCGTTTCTGAACCTTCTGCCGGAGGTGCAGACGGCAGATCGGAAAGTGCCGTTTAGAGAGAAGTTTCTTTACACCGCCGTGTCGCTCTTTATCTTTCTGGTCTGCAGTCAGCTTCCCCTCTATGGCATCCACGCAGCCACAGGATCAGATCCGTTCTACTGGATGCGTGTTATTATGGCTTCCAACCGGGGTACTGTCATGGAGCTGGGAATTACTCCCATTGTCACATCCAGCATGGTGATTCAGCTTCTTGTAGGGTCGAAGCTGATCGAGGTGGATAACAGCATCAAGGAAGATAGAGAATTGATGTAAGTCGCGGAATGGCCTCTTGACATTTGAACAAAAAATACTGCGAAACTGTTAGGGTTAAATTGGTGGCTTGACGTCTCTTGGCGTCATACACCGAATATGATCTTCCATCGCGGATCTTTTCGCTGCGTGTATTCGGATCTGCTGTAACATAAAAACCTGATATTGTTTCTATTGCTGGTTCTTTTCCAGCAATGGAGCTCAGAAGCTCCTGGGAGTGCTCATCACGGTCGGCGAAGCTGTCGCATACGTCGTCTCGGGGATGTACGGCGATGTGCGCGATCTGGGTGCGACGAATGCGATTCTGATCATCGTGCAGCTCTTCTTCGCCGGCATCATCATCATCTGCCTCGACGAGCTCCTGCAGAAGGGATACGGCCT